GCCCTCGGAGAGCCCTTAAAGAGCCCTCGAAGGGTCCGAGGGGTTTTAGAGGGTCTCTCTGAGAATTAAATATAGTTAAAAACCAGTACTCGGCAAGCTTTTCACTACTGGGAAGCCCGCGCCCCAGCACATATTTGATACGCTTGGCGGGGGCAGCGGGGTGCCCCCTTTACCCCGTTAAGAAAACCCCACCCCGTTAAAACCCCGCCCCTGAGCGGGGTGGTGTTGGACACCCAAAACCCCGCCCCACCTCGCCCCGTTGCGCAGTGTAACTCTACTTTTATATGATAGCTCTCTAATAAGTAATTTAAGACTTGTCTTTCGGTAGCTGATACTCTGCACTTTACGCTATTGATACCTCTATTTAGATCTTTATAGAGTCTCTCAGCGTACCCGAAGGAATTTCCTAATTGGAAAGCTTGCTTTCTCATTACTCAAGACTGAAATCACAAAATGTTCGACAACCATAAATTTAAGGTTGGCCAATCAGATCCTCGGATTTCACGATTTCTAGTCTAAAACACACCTTATTTCTTCATCCTCGTTCTAAACACGGGTACGTCCAAAAGAGGAAGCACCATAAGGCTGAACCTCCAACATCAACTTTATTAAATTATTCTATTTAATTCCTTTAACGTTACGTAATAAATGATAATAAAGTAAATTTATAGAGTTATAGAGTTAATTATACGCTTTCAAATAAAGTAGCGAAGACGAAATTTGATAAAGTATTCGTAAAGATATACTAAAAACTAAGATTTTTATTCAAATTATCGAGCTTGCGAGAAGAGCCCCTCCGGCAGGAGCCCTCGGAGAGCCCTCGGAGAGCCTCCGGAGGGTTAGGGGGGTTTCAGGGGGTCTCCCCCTGAATATCAAATAAATTATAACGTCTCTCTCGATTCTCAGTGAACTATAACGTCTCTCTCTAACGTCTCTCTCTAACGTCTCTCTCTAACGTCTCTCTCTAACGTCTCTCTCGATTCTTAGAGTTAGATCCTTTAAAATCCCTTAAACCCTTCGAAGCTCTTTAAGGGCTCTCCGAGAGCTTCTGTCGAGGGGCTGTTAAAGCAAGCTCGAAATCAATCAAATATCACTAAAATAATCAAATTTCGAGCTTGCTTTGACAGCCCCTCGACAGAAGCTCTCGGAGAACCCTTAAAGAGCCCTCGAAGGGTCCGAGGGGGTTTAGAGGATCTCCCTGAGAATCAAAAATAGTTAAAAACCAGTACTTGGCAAGCTTTTCACTACTGGGAAGGACACGCCCCAGCACATATTAGTATTTATTGTAGTAAAGTAATAAGTATGGCTATGAAATTATGATTTTCCGAAACTCAAAAATCAAAAAAATGGGTTTTATGTGATTGACCCTGTTACGAGCGTATTCTATATCCTTAACACACCACTTAGCCCTCTCACCCATTCGGGCCTAGCGTGTCTTAGCAGAGGCATCCATCTACTACTTAATATCTCCCTTCTACCTACATAGTTCGATACCTTAGTTATCTTATTCAAAATACCTACATTAATATTGCATCTATACCGATTCTGATAGACCCACGTACTAATCGTATCTACCCCCATTTACGCCCTACCCTTATTTACGTTCATTTTAAATTCGATAAATCTATTATGGCTACTACTACTATGGCTACTACTATTACTTTATTTAAATAGTCTACTATTATAGTCTATTATAATAGCTAATACTACGATACTATAGTCGTCGTCTATAGGCCTAATATATATAGTAGACGTTGAAATTATCGGATTTGAAATGAGCGTAAATGTAAATTCGATATAGATAGCTACCACTACCATGGCTACACTATTACAGCTACCACTATCACTTATTCAAATAGCCTACTATTATAGTCTATCATAATGGCTAATGCTACGGTACTATAGTCGCCGTCTATAGGCTTGATATAGTAGACGTAGGAATTATCGAATTTAAAATGGGCGCAAATAAGAGTAGGGCGCATACGTTGTCGTTGTTCCATTTGATTTCTATTCAATTTTTTAATTTTTTTTTTTTCATGTTTTTTGCGCGCCATCAAAATCCAAATCCAAAATGTAACTATCACCACAGCTACCACTACCACTTATTCCAAAGGCCTACTACCATGACCTATCCTAATGGCCAATCCTATAGTACTATAGTGGCCGTCTATAGACCTGGCATAGTAGGTATCCCTGCTGGGGGCTCACATGTGGCCTGTTTTTGATCTGGCGAGATATATAAAATAGCATACGATATTCCATCCAGGCCAGTAGGACACCTATTGAAAACGCCCATCTTACCTGGCTAGTGACTAGCCTCTCGGCATATGACTGTGAGTTCAAATCCACCAAAAACCCCCATACCATGCATATTGTTATGGTTATTACACGCAATTACAAATTGAATAAACAGTATAATAAAACCAGGCTGTACCAGCAGATTTATGAACAAATGCCCATATCCCACTTGCATTTGCCCGGTATTTGCCAGGCCATGGCTAATCGCCACAGTGGGACTGGGGGTTAGTGGGTCACATGACATCATGACCCTGTTGGTACCCTTGTTGGTACCCCTGTTGGTACCCCTGTTGGTACCCCTGTTGGTACCCCTGTTGGTACCCCTGTTGGTACCCCGGCAAGGGGTTGGGGAGTCGGGGACAGGTGTCCAGTACGAGCTATATAGCCACCTGTTTTGCACCTGTCAATGGCTCTTCATTCGATTTCGTCTCTTTCAGAGCCATTGCATACTTTTTGTCCCACCCACCCACACCTGTACATAGCTAGCTACTACTTCACTCCAGGTCTATGCCATAGGCATGGGAGTTTTCTCGGCGCTGGGGTACGAATACGTCTGTTCAGGCCTCTATTCAGGTGTTATCCCGGCGTCGGGATGGCCCAACCACTTGATACCTCATATCTATGTGCCCTGTGTATGTGTGATGCGTGAGAATGAGAACACTAACAGGCTCCCAAATAAGCTTCCAGACATCATTTCTTTTGATGCTCTGGAATGCCGTGCCTATCGCTGTAGCAAGAAGGAACGTAAGCGATTAAGCAAGTAAGCAAGTAAGCAAGCAAGGCAAGCAAGCAAGTAGGCAAGCAAGTAGGCAAGCAAGTAGGCAAGCAAGTAGGCAAGCAGAGGTCTCGGCTGGTCGACGAGTGCTGCACGGTCCCAAGGAGGGCTAATTACTAATTCATACCCCGAAACTATGAATCCTTACCGAATCATACCCCTAATTACTGAATCATACCCCTAGGGGTATGATTCAGTAATTTGCCATTACTTGGGGTATGATTCGGTAATTTGCCATTCATGACAAAAATCGCAAAGGAGAAAAATTCGCGACCTGGGCCAGTCGACCACAGAAAAGAGGAAATATCTCCGACCGTATTTAATGGATAACCTACCAGCTTAAATATCAGACGAAAGCCGAGTGGGTGTTAGCAGCAGCTCCCACGGGGGCCCTGCGACGGCCCTACGGGGGCCCTATTTAGGTTTAAATAGAGGGGTCTAGCTGTCAAGCGCAGACACCCCCGGGATCAGGCTTTTTTTGCGCTTGACAGCCAGACACCCCTATTTAGACCTAAATAGGGCCCCCGTGGGGGCTGCTGCTAACAGTGGGCTAAATCTAGCCCCCCAGCCTGTCTACACCCAGTCTGTGACTCTCACACATAGTCTTCACTCCCAATAGTCTACACAACAAGTTTGGTAAATTACCGAATCATACCCCAAGCAATTAATCCGGGCTAATTACTAATTCATACCCCGAAACTATGAATCCTTACCGAATCATACCCCTAATTACTGAATCATACCCCTAGGGGTATGATTCAGTAATTTGCCATTACTTGGGGTATGATTCGGTAATTTGCCATTCATGATAAAAATCGCAAAGGAGAAAATTCGCGACCTGGGCCATCCGACCATAGAAAAGAGGAAATATCTCCGACCGTATTCAATGGGTGACCTACCAGCTTAAATATATCAGACGAAAGCCGAGTGGGTGTTAGCAGCAGCCCCCACGGGGGCCCTGCGACGGCCCTACGGGGGCCCTATTTAGGTTTAAATAGGGGTGTCTGGCTGTCAAGCGCAGACACCCCCGGGACCAGGCTTTTTTTGCGCTTGACAGCCAGACACCCCTATTTGGACCTAAATAGGGCCCCCGTGGGGCTGCTGCTAACAGTGGGCTAAATTTGACCCCCCAGCCTGTCTATATTTAGTCTGTGACTTTCACACATAGTCTTCACTCCCAATAGTCTACACAGCAAGTTTGGTAAATTACCGAATCATACCCCAAGCAATTAATCCTTACCGAATCATACCCCAAATTTTGGTGTAGGGGTATGATTCAGTAATTAGGGGTATGATTCGGTAAGGATTCATAGTTTCGGGGTATGATTCGGTAATTAGCCCAATTAATTACCGAATCATACCCCAAATTTTGGTGTAGGGGTATGATTCAGTAATTAGGGGTATGATTCGGTAAGGATTCATAGTTTCGGGGTATGATTCGGTAATTAGCCCGTCCCAAGGAGCAAACCCGACGGTAGCTAGGACCTGTAGCTCGGTCCGATGTGGGTGGTGGATAGCTAGGTGAGCTGGTGAGGCTATGTCAGCATGGACTCGGATGACGAAAATCTCGAGTACGGCAGTGAGGTCTGGCGACGGCAAGGTGTACTGGACGCCGCTACCGAGCACCGTCCATGGTAGCTAGGACCCATATCTCGGTCCGATATGGGTGGTGGACGGTTAGCTATTAATGATAAGGTCATGTCACCATCGGTTCGAACAGCGCACATGGTAAGAATGAGGCTGGTAGAAAAATATCAGATGAACGCCAACTGAGGGTTTGCGCTACCCTGCCAAATGAGAGCGACCTCAGGGCGTATCATGGAGGCGCATGTCAGCATCGCAAGTCAAGAAAGACATCGGCACCAGTGGCCACAAATCATGACACCACAAATGCTACCTGTTTTCAACTCATACCTAGACGACAGCCTCATCTCGGCGCTACTCTTCCACCCCTCTTTGTAGCGTTCTTACCTTCAGGCGATGTAACAGAAGCACCCCTCTTATGAGACTTAGACGGGTCCACCTTGAATAGTCAGTACACAAGAAGCTTTCGTAGACATGTAGATCATACCTCATCGTCTTCTTCTTCATCACTCTCAGTCTCACCGCTACCTTCCTCTTTAACTTCAAGACCTTCCTCTTTGATCCCTTCCAGCTTAAGACTACCAGTCTCAACAACGTCACCTTGCAAGTCCTCGCCCGGATCCTTCTTCGTTGCACGTGTGCTAGGCCTCAACGGTGCTTTGAACTCCGCTGGTGTAGGCTTACTCTCCTTCTTGGTCTTATCCTTCTTCGACTCCGGCTCCTTTTTGGCTGCCTTCTTGCGTGTAGCCTTGTCTTCCTTGATGGGACTTTCCACTGCTTGCAGGTAATCCGGATCCGGTATTTCACATACTATGAAGAGCGTGCGCTCACCCTTCTCTTCCTTGCAGGCTTGGAGGATATCGCGTGTGAAATCGCTGTTAAGGACACTAAGTGGAAAGCGACGTGGTGTAGAAGAAGGACCTTTGCCGTCGACGAGTCACTCGAGGATCGTAGATGATAGCATTCCAGGTTTCACCTTCTGGAACCATGTCTTCTTTGATCCATTGCTCGATATCCAGCCCAGGTAGATTTTTATCCACTAATCTCAGTGAGATAGAACCTATATTTGTTGGATCAGTCAACATCAACTATTCAGCAATGGTAATTACGTACGAAAAGACTTATTATTGGTATACTCAAGCTCCAGAAGATCTAGGCTTGCTGGATCATAGAATTGATGACGCGGTGTCACCAAAGCCTTGGAAATAGACGCTGTGACACCACTGTCATTGGATCGGGCACGATCACTGATGCCACCTGTGTGCATAGCCCGACTACCTGCATGAGATCGGGTATCGTTGAGAGCCTGGTCCCTGGTAATGGAGCTAGTACGACTCAAACTAGCCGGCGTCTCTCTCTTTCCAAGCATGCGTGCTGGCCTGGGGGAGTCATGAATATCTATGATAGAAATTGGGGCCTTTGGCTGTTGCTCCCGGCCCTCGACTCCACAGCCCACACATCCTTTTCCAGGCCGTAATGTGTGGTGATCGAAGCCCGGTAGATCCTCACAGAAACGTGTAAATTTGGCCATAATCAGTAATAGGTATGGGTGTAGATATGAGAGAGACAGTCGAATAATGTGGGCAATAGCGAGATATTCATAATCAAAAGACCTCGGTCACACAATTGGTTACACATTCGGTGTTACATACTCGGTCACGAATACAGCCCGAACAACAAATACAGCCCGAACAGCGAACCGAGCATATCCACTAAGAATCCGAAAGAGGAAACCGAGCATATCGGTCAAAAGTCTAAAACACTCCACAACCATACAATGAACCCCCTCTGCGGAGCAACACCATTCGAAAGAGTAACATTCGAAGTATCCTTACTCTTCACGGTATCTTAATTGAATAAGAAACAAGCATTCTAGACCTCTGCAAAGAAACGCCACCATTTTGAGGTTTGTAGAGAAATCTATCTTTATAAAGGCGGTGTAGGCGACAGCGAGGTCCTTCAAGAGTCTAGTAAATACATGGTCGCGAGCACACTACTCAAGCGTTAATGGGCTTTCAGTTTGAAGAGATTTAGTGAAGAAATGTAGAAATGGTGGCTGAATAGGTATCTTGTCATTGAGTGGCTATTTGATATTTGATTTTCGGGCAGAGAAGGAATTGTCGGATGGTGCAATATGATTGGTCCGGGTGCCCCCGAGCCGAACCGAACCGCGAGCACTAAACTTTAAAACAATATCATATGATCTTTTGGTGGTTTTCTCCATGACATACCAGATAGTCGATATCGATCGAGGCCACCAACGGCGACAGTGAGGCCTGCAGATGCCGCACCATGGCTTCGGAAGACCTTTATAAGTATGCTAACAAGGGGAGCATGCTTGGTAGGGCTTATGTGAAGTGGGTTGAACGATAAGCGTCTGAGCAATCGATTTCTGAGTACTAAAAAGTGAGGCATGGGCGCAATATATGGACTTCGGATGAATTCAATTCGTTCAAAAACACGATGTCCGAGGTTTTACCGGGCCGCCTGTTGATTTGCTGGGGAAACAGGGGCTTTGTTTGGTGCGAGAGTGGCATGCTTACCATGAGTCTCTTCCAACACACACTTATCATAAGTGTGTGTTGGAAGAGACTCATGAGGTGTGTGTTCCTTTGAACAATGGAAGAGTATCAATCGAGGAGGCCAACGATTAACCTTCCTCACCGTCGACCGATGCCTGACCCTCAGACGTATGGGCAAATTACAAATTCATACCCCAAACTATGCGATCCTTACAAATTCATACCCCATCTTACATTTTCATACCCCTCACCAAAAAAATGGGGTATGAATTTGTAAGTTGCCACTACTTGGGGTATGAAAATGTAAGTTGCCATTTCTTGGGGTATGAAAATGTAAGATGCCACCAACTTGTAGATGTAGCCGTCCCTGTGCCCTGGAAGTGTAAAGTGTACCAGAGGACGTAGTGGTGGTCAAAGACGACGGGCTTCTGTCACCTTAGTTAGTGATATGCCAAAGAGAGGTAGAGGACGGGGGTCTTGAACGATAGCGGTAGCTGCCTGGCAGATGGCGGTCGGTAGGCTCCACTGAGCGTCAGGTAGTGGTCGTCGACTCCGCTGTCGATGACGGTGGTGTGGTGTGGTGTTGTGGGGTGGGGTGCTTGCGTTTGGCCCTCGAGTTGGCCCGCTCGGCTTCCGTCTGATGTCTTGGAGCTGTTAAAATTTTCATTAGATGCGGTCGGAGAGATTCCCTTACTTCTAATCCTCTCCTTGATGGTTCAAAGCCTCTGCAAAATTTCGAAAGTAGGCCCTTAGGTAGCAATTCCAGGCCACTATGGCAACTTACAAAATCATACCCCTGTAGATGGCAACTTACATAATCATACCCCTATTAATGGCATCTTACAAATTCATACCCCATTGGGGTATGAAAATGTAAGATGGGGTATGAATTTGTAAGGATCGCATAGTTTGGGGTATGAAAATGTAATTCGCCCTCAGACGTATAGTTCTCATCATCTGACTCTGCAAGAACATTATCCATGTGATCCCTGAACTCCGCTGGCTCCTCATTCCTCTAAGCCTCATGAAAGGCTGTCATAGCCTTTTCAGAAGGCTTCCAAGACCCAGCTCCCTTTGGTATCTGCGTTAACGTCAGGGTTGGACTGTTGTTACCCACAGCGAGATGCCGTTCGACCTCCTGCTTGAGAAGGACAAAAACGTGACCGTGCACACGTCTTCCCATTCCCTCCTCCTCAAGTACATCCTTTGCCGTCAAAGTTGCCGGATCAAAACTAAGCGATCGCATCTTCTCATGACACCACTGTAGTGTCACCGCGGGAAGGTACTCATCCAGATCGTATGCTTCCACTTCTTGATGAAGTGTATCAACAAGGTCAGGATTCGGTACGCTGGAGCAGTCCACCGCTGGTTCCTCGGGATATTCGTACATAAACCATGGCAAACCGGAAGTCACATGCGGGCGAGTCTTTTGCTTGCGAATTCGGTGCTCATTCCAATTCTTAACAAACTCAAAGGCCTCCGCTCGAACCAAGGGCATATAGATAGCGTACACAGCAATGGTATCCGCTAGCCGATCCTTTACAAAGTGGTTTTCCTCCTTCAACCGGTCGAAGAAGAGCACCCATTGACGGAGTTGTGAGGACTGTAGATGCATCCACCAAGATTCAATACGTTGATTAGCGGTGCTTTTGCCAAACATCCAGCACTTCTCAATGGCACGATCCTCTTCCGATCGATCTTCTTGTACTTCACACAATTGATGAAATGCATCGGCAATAAGGATGGTCTCAACACCCCGGTCTGAACGAAACCTTTCCGGCATAATCTTATGCTCTTCCATATACATCAAAAACTGCTTTACGACGCTGACAGCTGTGCGTCCGGAGCCTCCCACATAGATCCAGATGACCTTGCGGGAGTACGCATCGATCACGGCGTAGATCTGAATGCCAATGATCTCTGGCTTGCAGTGGGCGTCAACTGACCATATAGCATTGGGGCCGGCTACCAAAAACTTCTTCCTTCTGTGCTGTTTCTTCTGGTATCTACCACTGACGCGCTCCGGATCCACGAGTCTTAAGGTGTACATGATATCGTTCCTCGAGATAAACACACCGTTACGACGAAAGTATGCGTAAAGATGCGTGAGGGCCCAGCCACCAATGACACCCTGATCCAGATGCTCTGTGATAATGCGTATAATCTCCTCATCATGAGAGCGAGCATCCTTCAGCGGACGTTTTCTTCTCAAACCCATTGCCACTCTCAATCGCCGGAGCTTATCTGAAGTCACACGTAGATCCTTCGCCTCCAGTACCACTAATATCTCTTTATCATTTGCGTTTTGCTGAAGGAACAGAGTCGCAATGAGAGCATCGCGGAGTGTCTCGTCCCTGCACTCTGGTTTATCGTAGCGTTTCTTGGCCCATATCCGCAGGTGTTGCTCGAGCACATTCTTACTGATGTTAAAGCCGCGCTGAGTAGATAGACGTCGTAAGATCTCTTTGTACTCCTTGTTCTGGTCATGAAGGTGGAGGATGAACTCCTTGTGTGACTCTACGTCTTTCTTGGGCCGTCCTGGTGGCATAACTGTAGGAAAGGGAGTACAGGTAGGTGAACCGAGTGCGTACTACTAGGAGGATAGTCGGTAATCGTACAAAGTCAAATGGGAGGAGTATTTGAATTTGATAGGGTAGATTTAATGGCCACTCCGCAGTCGCAGTTAGTGCTACAATGTACGCAGGGAGTGAATATTTCCTACATACCAAAACCCCCCAAAAAAAAAAAAAAAAAAAATTGAATAAAAAGGGTTTGCCTCACGCTACGGTCTTATTTCCTCATCTTCGATCTAAACGCGGGTACAAACGGGTACTAGTACGTCCCAAAGAGGAAGCTGGAAAAAAAAAATCAAAATCTTCAAAGCCACCTTCTTCGATTCCTTTTCCTCTATGAATATCGGTGTGATTGCCTCGTCTCGTGCATAGAATCAATTGATAATAAGATCTATATCTTATTACAACCATTTGATCTTAGGGTTACAAGTTCTTTGAGTGTTAGAGAGAGTGACGGTGGGAGTGATGGTGGGAGTGACGGTGAGAGTGACGGTGGGAGTAACGGTGAGAGTGACGGTGGGAGTGACGGTGGGAGTGACGGTGGGAGTGACGGTGGGAGTGACGGTGGGAGTGACGGTGGGAGGAGTGGGCGACGGTGGGACGGGACGGTGGGGGAGGTGGGGGGACGGTGGGGGGACGGTGGGAACGGTGGGAGTAACGGTGGGAGTGACGGTGGGAGTGACGGTGGGAGTGACGGTGAGTGACGCTGAGAGTGACGGTGGGCTTTCTCTTTTCTATTATGGCGTGTTAAAAGGATATAGGCGTGTGGAAGATAGATAGAAAGAATAGGAAGGCCCAAATAATACTCGAAATTTACCTAAAATAGTCACGTGAAGTGTCTACGAATATCCGAATATCTAAATATTTGAATATTCCATAATAACCGTACTTTTTTGGCGGTTATTCTCGGAGATAGAATCGTCGGAGTTTCGGAGTTTCAGTGATTCGCCACCAGATTTTGGTGGCGAATCACTGAAACTCCGAAACTCCGACGATTCCACGCGGAAAAAAGTTACTCTGAAAACCCCTAATAATGAATAATAAATTAAGTCTGTAGAGTTGTAGAATTACTTATGCGCTTTCAGATAATGTAGCGTAGACGAAATTTGATAAAGTATTCGTCTGTCGAGCTTGCGAGAAGAGCCCCTCTGGCACGAGCTCTCGGAGAGCCCTCGGAGAGCCCCCGAAGGGTCCGAGGGGTTTTAGGGGTCTCCCTGAGAATCAGAGATAGTCAAAAACCAGTCCTCCGCATTCTACTACTGATTAGCCCCGCGCCCCAGCACATATTTAGTTTGACGGGGGACTGTCCGAAGATAATGTAAGTTGCTGATATCGCTTGTTGCATCGAGTCGAATCACCCAGCCGTGGACCAGTTCATCCTCGCGCTCACGCTCTGGGACGGGTGAAGGTCTGCTCAGAAAGAGAAGTCTCGAATGAGGGAAGTCTCGCCTTCGAACATGAGCTTCACTTTGCACGCACGTGAATTATTCGAGGTTTCTGCGTCCTTCTTAGCCGGATCAGGGGTGGGTTCGTAATTGCCGCCATCGTACATGAGGGTCTGGGGACTCATAATACACATCGTCGCTGGCTATTCCTGGGTCTTCTCCGCCCAGCTCATCGGCCACAACTTTTGCTTGTCTAACCATGATGGATTGATAGGATCTTGCAATCTGATGGGTCTTGAAGGGTCGTGAGATCTTTGTAAAGTCAGGCTGTAGGTCTGTTAGCTGGGATTTAAGACGTCAGTGAGTGTGGACATAGGCGTGTGGTGAATTCGCACACTGCTGCGGGTGACCTGAATCTTAATCAGGTGTAGTGAAGAATCAACTCAACACATTACCCGACCTCTGCCATGAACTATAATCCTTTGGACCTACTGTTCGAGATAACAACTTCATATTTAATTCCGCACCTGTTGATCGCAGTAATAATACTTTTGATATCAAGGTCTCCATCGACAATAGCCCACAGAGAGGAACTTTACGTTCAATGGCTGAACTCACTAGTGGATTGGCTCCGTACATATCTCACATTCTTTACCACGTCTTCCTCACTTCGCCCACCACTACTTCCTCTCCCCTCTCAACCTCATACACACCGCGCCGTCTTTTACATCATGGCGTAGAAGGTATTATCGGGCTTCGAGGAAACCGCATGGCCGGGCAAACAGTTATGGCAAAGCATACATCATGGAGGGTCTTTGCCGCGAGGAAGGATGCCTTGTGGGAGAGATGGAAGAAGTTTTGTGACCCCTTGACTCAAGATTTTGGCTTGTTCGAAGCAGAAGACAGAATCAACAGCAGCTGGCGTGACATCTACGCAACCAAAATGGATGAAGTTGTTTCGAAGTGGCTTGATAAGTTCGCCAGTGACCTGAACGCTGTCGCCGAAGCTTCAACGAAGTGGAAGGAGCATTATGCGAGGGTATGATGCCTTATCTCATTAACAAAGGGCGAAAGAGACTCAAGGACGTGCCCAGCGTGACCCCTGCGCCTGCTGAAACTACCTTACCAGAGCACCCTATGATGGCGGCAGCAGCCACCCGGCCCTCTCCTTGGGTGTCGACATCTCTATAGCCCTCTCCCTTGACATACGAAGGAGCTCTTCGAACCATTTCGCAACAAGGAATCATTGTCTATCGTGATTATCCTGATGGTCAATTCCGGCTGCCATAAAGCGCGGTCACTGTGCAGCGTCCGGAGTTGAATAAGCCAAAGGCCGAAGTGGAGATTAGCGATCTCTCTTTGGCAAGATTGATAGCGTTGCTCCGTCAGGATTCCATCATGGCAGAAGCCAGCGAAGCCTGGGTGTATAAGTCAGTCGACACTCACGAGGCCGTTACCACGACCGACATTTCTATGATGCAATTCGGTACCTGCAAGGCCTGCACCTCACGCGTAATGTCTTTTTGGATTCCGACACCGCAGCGAAAACAGCCGACTAGCCCTGGTATCTCTATCTCACCTCAATTATGTGTGGTGACCGGGCTGACACCGTGGTTAGCGGCAAGGGTCCCACTCCAGCTTTCCCCGAAGCTGTTCTGCACAAGGAAGAGGACCTGATGGCAGTAGACAAGCAACACCCAAATCCGGTGTCCGGTACGTCTTCACAACCATACTGAAGTTATCTAGGAACATTTTGACTCACGTAACTAGTGCCTTTCACGATCAAACTGCCCTTCCACCCGCCATCCTACTCGTCGACCCCGCAACATCATTTGCTCGCAGAAGGGTCCTCATTCGAGGAGAGACGCTATGCAGAAGAGAGGGCAGGACAGTCCCACTTTGAGCTCGGTGGGTCACCGTCCTTATACTGAACCTGTACGCATACCTTGCGACTAAAGTTACCAAGGTACGAAGAAGCTCCGCCGCTGTCGTACGATAAAGTAGCTCCGAAATATTCTATCCCGGGGATCGATCCTCCCGACCAAAGGACGAGGAACCCATCCCTCCTACCTCGCGCAACAAGCGTCGTAAGGTCAACGTCACATGTCCAATGTCAGAGAAGGCAGAGTTCGATTTAATTTATCATGTGAGCGAGAGCGAGGACGAGGGGAACTGGCTTCGCAACTGCGCTATGACTGGCGACGATTCCTACGATATCGCTCAGTCGAGTATGGTTTTGATTATTGGTCTCATGATAAAGTTATTCAAGCACCAGCTTATCGCGGCTATTCGGATGGTTTATCAGGGGAAGGGTGAGTGTGAGGGGGGCTGGTGTGCCGGCGAGATGGGGTTAGGCAGGGTACGTAACCTTTTGCGTCTCTGAGAGCCAACCTTTGGGTTAAATCATGAGCTAAGCTCGGACTGACTTGGCCCAACAAGTCAGACTTTCTCACGCTGTTTGTCGCGTATATTGGAATGTTCCTAGATCATATCTGGGACTCTATCGACAAGAGTATTCGTGGCAGTGCCACAGCCGATCGACATATACAACCATCCAAAGGGCATTCCAAGCAGCCAAAAGACGCCGCTTGTCCCGGTAAGCGTACCTTACCGTTCCCCCGCGCGTGTAAGGATGACTCTCTCACAGTTCAGTTGCCAGTGAAACGCGGACCCGCGCTCCTTATTATACCTCCTGGAAGTTTGGTACATATAAATACTTCACAGCGAACTCTCACTTTAAAATTTCACCTTTCCTTTCTTCCTCGAAAACCCTTACCAACCATTGACAACAATAAGCAACTTGTCCATTAGATACTCATATACTGGTCCTTCATCTACTGTTTTATTCAATATCCTCCTTCTACAATAATCTGTTAGTACCATTATGCCTCCGGTTGTTTTGATCACTGACTTCGAGCACTGCTGATCCTCCTTCTGAAATTCAGACACTTACTAGCAGTAAACATCCAATCCGCTCATGTCTCAATTCAGCGAGAAGGAGCTGCAGCTCATGGTCGCCATGGTCAAGAACTTCAACGGCAGCATCACCGCATCTGCAAATACTCATACCTCACCCCGTGTTGCAACCTTATCGTCATTGCTCTCAAGCTGACCCTCACACTTATTCTCCTTAATTTTGCTCTTGAAGACAATGCGCTGCATCTTATTTGATGTACTGAAACGCAGGGAAAGATTGCAACGGAGGATAGGTGTGAGTCATAGCGTGGGGAGCTGTGCTGGCTTGTGAGCGACGGGAAAAGTCGTGTGCTGCCGGAGCCTTGAGAGAGGCAGTTCGAGGGCCTTTCTGCAAGCTCGCGAAAGGTCTAGGAGTGATACAAATACTTGCTCTAGGTTCTTGGGGTCGGTTGTTGTATGCTCTGTTTATTGTGTCCTTGAAGCAGACTCTGTGGAAGATTTTGCCTGTCTGCATCCTTCCAGGCTTTGCTTTACCAGAAGATTGCGCTTCGGATATAAGATTTGGCTTCCGAGGATTATATATATATCTTTGAGCTGTTGTATCCAAGCTGCTTCTTCGGACTCACATCACCTTCACTCCGTCCCACCACAACGCTTCCTCTCACCACACTTCGTTACTGTAAGTCTAAGCTTTCTTTTCTGGTCCAAATCATTCGATCTCTACTTCTATTTACTAACTCGAACACCTCACATTATTCAAATTGCACTCTGATTTTGAAGCTTGGACAACTCACTTCCGTATAGACCTTCACAGCTTCTGCTCCTCGGACAACTGGAAAGACCCGGAAGCATTCACCCGCCTCCTGGCGGCAATGGTGGCTGCCCAGGATATGAAGGTATGCTCACAGCTTTACTTCATGCCATATTAAGTGGTTTGCAAGTTATGACTAGAGTCTCTTGATCATTGCTTGCGGTCCTCTACATTCTCCATCTTCTCGGCCTTTTCACCCTCTGTCTCTGTCAATGCAGCGTCGCTCTCTTCACACTTACACCTCAAGTCTTTCAAGAACAATGCTGACTTTCAATTTCCAGCTCGACTACCGCAAGATCGCGTCCATGTAGAGTACGGAAACGGTATGTGGCAACGATTCAAGCATCCTCCAGCCTTTTTCAAATCTACCACCTCCCATCTCCTGCTTCTCCGTTGCCTATCCTGATAACCCACAGGCGCCACCTACGACTCAATCGAAGGCCGCTTCAGCATCATCAAGAAGGAAGCAGTGGCCTTGAAAGCAGAAGTTGACTCCGGCGAGCGTCCCGAAGCTCCCGCCCGCGGCACCCTCTCCGCCACTGTCACGCCAAACAAGCCCAAGTCTACCGTCGGCACTCCCTCAAAGGAGAAGACCATCGGCGGCCGCGTGGGGAAGAGCAATAGGACTCCCACCAAGAAGCGCGGTAAGGGGATCAAGGAGGAGCCGCAGAGCGGGTATGGTTTCATTCGAATCGTCTTTTGATTCGAGAATATGCTGACGGTCCACCTGACCAATGCTGCAGGCTGGTAAATATCGGAGAGCACCGAAAACTTCTGGGTATCTATGCAATTACTCACTCACTCACTCACAGAAGTTGCAAAAAGAGTTGAGTCAAGGTTGTAATCGATTACAGATTCACTTCCTAGGTGATCGACAGCTAACATAGAACCCAGGATCACCATCCACCTCATCTTACTCTAATCATCCTCTACCTTTAACTTACTCACCTCCCAACAACCTCAAGAATCCGCCCTTCAGACACCTCGTGCTCCAAAACACATCTTCTCCTCACATCTAAGCTCATTCAAATATACATATAAAATGAAAAATTTCTTACCGTCACCACCATTCGATTCATTATGCCTTGGGACGATGCTCGCGAAAAGCGACTGTTGATCGAGGTGATCATGATCACCAATCCAGCCGTTACTCGCTCTGCCTGGGACACCATTGCAGCAGTCATGGGAGATGGTTTAACAGGCGAGGCTTGTCGGTAGGTTCTATGATTCTTACATCTCTTTCTCCAGCTGTGGCGACGTCTCTACTGTGCCATGACGGTCAAAGTATCACCTCAGACGCTCGACTCGGCACCCGAGCTCTGCCTCCAGATACCGTCACTCACTTCAATCTCATCCATCCACTAACGTCCCACTCAGCCAGAAATTCCAATCCATCAAACGCACCGTCAAACCCGCCAACGGCGCCACCGCCTCCAAAGCCACCAAGGCCACCAAGCCAAAACCTTCAACCTCCTCCGGCACCGCGACCAAAACCCGCAAGCGCAAGGCCAACGTCAACGAAGACGACGACGACGAAGAAGACGACGACGATGACGACGACGACGACGACGACGACGACGACGACGACGAAGGAGCGAGCCTCTTCACGCCAATGGCGCAGAAGAAGATGAAGTCGGAAAAGAAGGTCGGCGGCGAAGCCGAGGTGGACGGCATCGGCGCCGAAGTTTTCAAAGCTGAAGCGGGGGAAGAGGGCATTGATCTGGAGCACGATGAGTATGTCCTCTTGACCTGTTTCTCGATCTTGTTACGCTAACACTCTACAGTCTCTACGACGCCGTTGCTTGAGTGGAGGTCCGATCGTCGATGGCCGGCGTTGGGCTACAGGTGGGCTTTTGTGGAAACCTGGCACCGCTTTACCGCAGCCGAGATCTCGATCGGTGCACGTCTTGACGGTTTTCGTGTTGCTGAGAGAGGATGAGGATCAGTAAGTGTGGAGGAAGTGGCATAGCGGACGGCGGCTTGGGCATGTCTTTCGTTGGCGACGCTCGCACGCTTGAAGGGCATTTCTCGGATAGCGTTGGTTAGATAGTGCGCAATCAGACCGGTTTCTGGGTTTTGCAAAAATGCGAATCGTGTTATGCTTTTGTGACCTGTTGATCTGTGTTACCTGTAAGCGCTCGATGGAATATCTTATCTCGATGTCTGGACAACCAACCCAATCATCATTATCACCTGCGCTATCTCAGCAGCCATCAACCTGAACGCATATCCATCTCAAGATCCATAAACTCAGGCACCACCCTCCGCGGTCCCAATCCACCAGCTCAGAAAGACAGCATCCAACACTGCGAAAGCGCATCACGTCCGAGACTAGAAAGCTTCGATATCCATGCCACCGTCAACAAAATCACCGTCAACGCCACCCTGTGCCGCGCGACCACCACGATCATTGCATCCGCCTTCGACATTGGCCGCGAAGTCCTCGCCGTCCTCGGTGCTGGGCACTTCCAAGAACCTACTCGAGCGCATGCGCTACTCTCGCTTTAAGCAGCAGATGGAGGGTGTCGCACCTGCCCCACCCACGGCCAGAGCCGCCGTTCCCCGTAGAGGACATCGAAGCCCGACAAATCTGAAAAGAACAAGACACAGAAAGAAGAGCATCAAGGGACAGTCTTCAAGGCGGAGAAAGAGGAAAATATGGATGCGATGTCAGGCGTTGAGCAGACTGTCAAGGAGGAGCATTTTGTCAAGCCGGAGCCGGAGATCAAGGCGGAGTGTTGAGATTTGCTGCAGCACCTGTGTTGTAGCTACCCCTAATGGTGGCAATCAGGTGGCAAATTAGCATGGGCTTCACATGGTATTTAAGTAGCCTACATACCATTCCATCGTTCATCAATCAATCCTTCATACATTTCCAACACGGAGCTCGGTGGAGAGGAGGATGGGACGTGGTCGCCGGATGGTAGTGCAGATGCTGACGCGATGCAACAGATGTCTCTGGAGTCAGCAGCTTTTGTGAACCACGGCAATCTGCAGCAGTACTCTCCAGTGGAAACACCCCAGATTTCGTCAGAGCTTATTGCAGTAAAGCCAGAGCCAACTGTCAAGATAGAGCCTCTTTGGGAGAATTGATTTTGCTTTTAGTAACCTTGTCAATTAGATAGAGTAGCACAGTGCAATAGACTAATTGTGATGGAAACAAAAATGGACTAGTGCGGATCCTTCACTAGCTTCAAGTTCTCCCACAACAACGCTGTAACTTTCCAGACCAAATCGCATCTTGGCACACACTAATCTAGACTCCTACCGTTGTTTGAGACATATGAAAGGGCAAGCAACCCCAATAGACAATCCCGAAGCACTCCTGAACGGCTACCACCTGACTTCCCAAACCTTCAGAACTACACAGACGCTGACTGCACATACCTGCACATCCGGCAAAATCGAGTCAACTTCCATAGGGACGATAAATCTCTTCGACCAGAAACGCCCTCTACAACACCCCTCCCTGATCACCAACAAACGCACGGCCATGTCTTCCAGCACCCGACCGGAAGATAGTGTCATTGATTCACACAGCGCATCTCTTGAGAAAGAGCATAAAGCAAGAGTTTCTAAGCTGGCAAAGAGAAAGAGAAACGTGGAAGATACAGAGGGCGGAGGAGCTCATGAAGCGGGTTTACTCGGTGCTAAGAGACACTGCGCGGAAATTTACAAGATGAATCGAAGCGCTCAGTCTGACCAACAAGGGGCAAGCAATCAGCAAATGAGCGACACCAAAGGGCAAGGAATCGATGAGATGAACATCGACAGCAATAACAAAGAGGCGAGCTGGATTCCAAGCTGTAAGTGCCTTACTGCGCAGCCTCCGAACGACCTATACTGACCTCGTAAGTATGGAAGCAACGAAGAAGATGGGGATCAAGCCTGGCAACGAGGTCAAGAACGATATGGATTGGGCCGAGTAAGCACTGCGGCATCATTCCCCTGCTCCAGATACTAACCCTTTTCTGGATTTACTCTCATCCATACTGGCCGTCGTCCTGGACATCCAGCTCTCGTCAATGAGTGTCCGTCTTTGCTCAAGCTTTTCGACACCATTCCTCAAAAACACACTTGCTATTCTTGTTCTTCGGGGGATTCTACCTTGATGGAATGGTTGAAGAGCATGGGATTTGGCTGGCATCATCGACACACAGATGGACGGACAGACGTGTCTATGCATGGTTATCGTGTTCAAGAGCAATCCCTGAAGGATGGAATTGTCGTGCTTCAATGGCTGCTTATATGCGCCGGGAACGCTAGCATAGCGTGCCACATTTTACTAAGCTGGGTGGCTGGCCAGAGGTTCACTTGTGCCTCCAACATGCCTTCCTATCATACCATGCAATTAGTAGGTAAGGAGTTTCAGACCACTTTTTTTAGGCGTGGATTTTGGGAATTTCAGCGATTTGCCGCCATCCACGCCATCCACCAAACGTACCCTGGGGTACGTCTGTCCAAATGGGGGTGTCTGGCTGTCAAACGCAAAAAAGCCTGGTCCCGGGGGTCTCTGCGCTTGACAGCCAGACACTCCTACTTGGACCTAAATAGGGCCCCGTAGGGCTCCCGTAGGACGTCGCAGGGCCCCCGTGAGGGCTGCTGCTAACATGCTGGTGGTATCTTACATTTTCATACCCCAAGAAATGGTAACTTACAAATTCATACCCCAAAGACTGGCAACTTACAAATTCATATCCCATTTTTTTGGTGAGGGGTATGAAAATGTAAGATGGGGTATGAATTTGTAAGAATCCTATAGTTTAGGGTATGAATTTGTAAGGCTGCTGCTACGCGTACAGCCCCTATCTACTACGCGTACAGCCCCTATTCAATAGGCGTACAGCCCCTATCTACTAGGCGTACAGCCCCCCTAACCTGGTTAGCGGCCGCGCGGAAGCTAACGAAATCTAACCGGAAATCGTAAAGAACCCGCATCTAGTCTCTTCGAGATTCTTGCGGAGATGCTTGATGGTAGAGTACAGGGCAAGCCTCCCTATGTCTCTCCCTGTAGATTTATAACATCGGACGGTTTCAACTCGTCGATTAGTGAGGTCTTTGAATAATTCCTCTATGGCGATAGCTGATTGGCTGGCTACCCTCTCTGCTTGCTACTAAAAATACGCCTATCATACTTAAATGTCCACTACCTATCGGCCAGCAGGTCTTCCTACATCTGAAACGTATTGAACATAGCCTCGTTACCCTGCATGTAGGCCTGTGTAGCACCACCCTCCTCGTGTAATGCCTAAGATTAGTCGTCGGGGTGGCTGCTGCAGCGGTCGCAAACCCCCCCGCTGTGACGCTTGCAGTATAGAGGTAGGTGTAGAGGTAGGTGTAGGTATGCGCTCTGATCCTTGCCTATTGAGCGAGGGATGTAGGCGGGCGGTGGGGTGGGAGTTGGTTCTACTACCATATCCTACTGTGAAGGGACTGGGGGTTAGTGGGTCACATGACATCATGGCCCTGTTGGTACCTGTTGGTACCCCTGTTGGTACCCCTGTTGGTACCCCTGTTAGTACCCCGGCAAGGGGTTGGGGATAGGTGTCCAGTACGAGCTATATAGCCACCTGTTTTGCACCTGTCAATGGCTCTTCATTCGATTTCGTCTCTTTCAGAGCCATTGCACACTTTTTGTCCCACCCACCCACACCTATACATAGCTAGCTATCATTTCACTCCAGGTCTATGCCATAGGCATGGGAGTTTTCTTGCGCTGGGGTACGAGAAATATGCCTGTTCAGGCCTCTATTTAGGCCTATTTAGGCTGGCTATCCCCGGCGTGAGACGGCCCAACCACTATCTACACTCTATGTGGGCCCCTATGCGTGCATTGACGCGTGTTTTTCATGAATGTGACAACTAATTCGGGACTACGACTCTTCAACCTCTGGAAAGTGATGAATGTCCTAGCAGGCTTCGTCACTCTCCATGATGTCGCGCTCTGCAGAGTGCGAGTATGGTGCTTACTGCCATGGGCGGGTTTGCCCGCGAGATATCTGCTGGGAAGAAACACCTGAAGCTTCTCTAACAGATACAAACTTAACCTGAAGGACTACAGCCAACCTCTCAATCTTCTTCTCTTCTCTATCGGCCACTTGACTACTTTTGACTACTTCTCTCCGACACGCTTCTCCGATCACTTTTTTTCTCTTTGTCGATCTCACGAGCACTCCCCCATATTCACTCTCTCCATCACCATTCTCTTAAATCTTCTTAGTCGGTCATCACTTCTCCGTCGATCACTTCTGTGTTCTCAGTGAGCACCGCTTCCGCAGCTACAAGGCCACAGACAACTTGCCCATTTCAACAGCTCTCAGACCGTCATACTCCGACACAATCTGTCTCAGTGTGGTATCGCTATCATAAATCTATATCCAGCCAGCATTTTCATCGCTGTTCAGCAATCCCAAGCCAGAACATTGGACTTATAGACTGTGAACTTTCGCAAGGCTTGGATTGTTGCATTTTCTGGATTGATTTGCTCTAGGAGAGATTACCGCATCCGAAGATCTACTTTAAGCAGCAGCGGCAAGGATTGGCGCCATGGTAGGTCAAGCCCCGCCATGGCTTTCAACACGTCTAAAGCCAAGGGATTATAGGAAGGTCAAATGCTTCTCAACCCGGCGATTCTCTGGGGTATCCTGATCTCAGAGTGCAAGCGACATTCTGAATGCGGCGTGGCAAATGAAGCTGAAAATGGCTCACTGGATGCCGCAACCACGGACCTGGCGTTTCAGGAACAACAAGAAACCGCCCAACCCAACGAGACTGTAAAAAGGCCATTTGCCGGCCCTGCAATCCTATGGGGTATACTTTCGTCAGAGGTTCCTCCCCAGGCCATGAACGATGGATCTGTCAATTTTCCAGAATCTGAAGTGCTTGATATGGACGCCATCGTCAACATCTGGCTCGCCGCAGGATATGACTGTCAGCTGCCATTGGTGGAGACTGCAGCTAGCCCGGCCGTCACAGACGCCATGCTCATCGATGGCGGGGAATCGAGGCAACCCTACCGGTCTCCGGACCCAATTGGCCCCTATATAATCAAGGAATCGCCGGGAAAAGGCCAGGGTGTTTTCGCTGCTCGACACGTCGTCAAAGGAGAACGCGTTCTAGTCGATAAGCCATTCTTCGTTGTCACCAAGCCATACAATGCTCGAACAGTCCTCGAAGAATTTCAGCGCATGCCCTTTGCAAGACGACAACAGTATATGCAGTTGCACTGCCCCAATCGCTCGGACAATACTAACATGATCGACGTCATGTGTATTTTCGAGGCCAATTGCTTCAACATTGGGTCCGCGGCCGCCATGTTCTTAACCGCGACACGATTCAACCACTCTTGCCTCCCCAACATCTACTACTCCTGGAGCGAGAAGCGCGATGAGATAGTCCTGCACAGCATGACCGACATTCCAAAAGGCGAAGAGATGACAATCTGCTACGGACGCGCCTTCTGCACACGAGACCAGCGCCAATCCGAGCTCCGCATCTACAATTTCTACTGCGGTTGCCCGGCATGTCAGACCGAAACCGCCTCTGGAAAAGCGAGCGAGGAGCGCCGTCTCGTCATGAAGGCTCTCAACGACCAGATCATCATGTTTCAGTCCATGCTGAACGAGGCGCTGCTGGTCTACGGACTGCAAGACCCTCTAACGCCGGTCTTGCAACTGATAGATCTTATCAAAGAGGAAGGATTGCATGGGGAGCTGATGACGCCGTACCGCGACGCAGCGGACTATCTCCGGGGCCGAGGGAATTTCGAGGAAGCGTTGACGTTTGCGCACTTGGAGCTGGAGGAGGAAGTAGTGTGTCTTGGGGACGACTCGGATGTCGTTTGCAAGACCATCGAATACATTGAGGAATTGGAGCAGGAACTCGAGAAGGCAAAGGGGGCGAAGATGCAGGAATATGAGGATACCGAAGAACTTGAGCCGGGCGCCTTGGACGATCGGGACAACGATCCCACAGACTCTGACGCAGAGATTCAGTCGCCGGAACAGACTCGTGGAGCAACAGCACCGGAAGCGGAAGCAGAAGCAGGACCCGCCGAAGAAGAAAAGCCCAAAGCATCCGACTCCGACAAGCAACCGCTCTCAAAGCGGTCGGATCCCGAGCCGAATACATCGCACACTACGGCCACCGTCGGGCTCCGCAAAAAGCCTCCAGCGAAGGAACCAGACGAAATAAAGCCAAGACGCCGGTTTCCACGAGGGCTGCATCGACTCGCGGTCCTCGAGTCAGCGTCTCGAGCGCAAGAAATGAACGACGACGGTCCGCGGCACCAGACTCACGACTGAGCGAATGGATAGGGAGAAGGCGTAAAAGAGCGAGTTTCAGAGAGAGGGTGGGAGCGGTCGATGCTAGGTCGTTTCTCCCGGCCCCCTGGCGCAAAGTTCCAACCACCACCTCCTTCGAGCGGACGGTGCAAGGAACATCATCTTTGCGTGGACCACGAGCTTGGTTTGCCTGTTGGCTTTTTACTGAATTGAACACGAGCTAGAAGAAGGCGAAAGAGAGTCAAGGAGAGGGAGGCAGAGAGCAGGATATTTGGGATAGCAGATCCTGTTAGATGTGTAGACATGGGCCGGGAGTGTATCTTCTGGATATTTGATTGACTTGCATTGAATTGAATATATGAGTTTTAGGTACACGTATCCAACATCACAGAAAAGCAAACAAGCAAGCAAGCGAGAGCAACGAGTGAGAGCGACAACTTATCCGTCAATGCAAGCGAGCGATTTCCCTTCCAACATGCTCCCCGAACCTGACCACCCATTCTTTCTCCTACCTACCTACCTACCACCCAAGCAGCGAAACAGAACATCACACAATCCGTCACAAGCGCCGTACAATAACCGAAACAGCAAGCAAGTAAGCGACCGACACAGCCCCACAACTCGCTCCTCCACACCCGCGTACACAGACGCCGAAGCGCGTGAATGAACCAATGTCCCCTCTAGCCACGATGCACCCGCTACAGCCTCTTTCCCGATAGCAAGCACCGCATCAGTCAGGAAGGAAGGAATGAATCAACCGCATGCGTGCATGCACTCACGCGATCTCCTCACGCGGCTGACATACGTACTCGCTCCCTTGGGCCACGGGACATGCATACCGCGGTCAGCGGATTGAATGAATGAATAAAGAGATGATGGTGAAAGAAAGCATGTTCGCACGGAGAGGAGCAGGGTAGGGGAATTCTTGCGAATTCCAGACTGTGTACAACATAGCCATGATAGCATAGGGTTCGATTGGGTTGGGCTCTTCCGCTTGGGTTCAGAGTACAGTCTGATAGGTATGACTTCAAGCGTGCGTTCGGACTCATCATCATTGCTTAAGGCATTCGGGGTTAAAGCAGGCCGCGGGCAACTTGCCGTTTTTCGTTCTGGTTGGTGTTGTCAGTTGTTGTTGCTAACGCCAGGCAACTGGTTGGGATTGCATCACGCGAAAGATATCGAAGTTGTGGTGGGAAGTGCTTCGTTCACGGAAGGTTGCGCATGATCTTGCGGAGGAGATCAAGATGGTTAGAACGTAATTGGCGATCTTGGTAGCAGATCTGGTGCTGCACCGGATCAACAGTACGCCGCACATAGGCCGTAAACGACAGCTGGATGATAGCCTCGGATAGGATAAGGCGTTTGAGGTCGCTGTCTCGTGGTACGATGTGTCGAATGCAGACATGGTATCGTAATGTCGGGTCCTGATTGGCAACCACGGTACCGAAGCCGGTCATTCTTACGGACTGGGTACTAAAGTCACGCCCAAAGAGGGATACTCGTACCCTTCATCCACTTTTGGAGGTTCGAACGAACCATCGCTGTCGTTGACTTGCTTAATTTTCACCGTACTCGTCTATGATGACGACAGCTTTGGCTTGACTGAAGAGTATTTTGTGACGTCCATAGTTTAACTTCGTCGCTTTATTGCATTTCCGTGAACCGTGTTTCCGGCCTGTTGAAGGCCATGGCTCTCCAGAGCTTCGTTACGATTTCAAAACTATTTAATTCAGTAATTAGGGGTATGATTCGGTAAGGATTCATAGTTTCGGGGTATGAATTTGTAATTTGCCCGCTCCACAAGCGTCTGTCCAACATAGTAAGTAGCAATGTGCACAGTATCTGCGACACCGAGAACGACGAGAGATCGTTCTGTGGAGAGAGGCAAGCACGAGTCGGATGCGTTGAGACGGGCGCCAGATGCTTCCTGGATCTCACGAATGCATACGCCAGATTTCCCGATGATAGAGCCGATCAGGATGTGAGGAATGAGCAGACGTAGCGGATACGTCTTGGACTGGGAGGTAGAAGGAGCCTCAAGGGGCTCGTTGTTCAAAGTCCGTATGATAAGCCCGAAAGCCTATGTTTGTCAGCATTAGAAAACATGTGAACGGTGAAAAAGATGCCGTCGTACCTTTGCTGTTGCGTCCACCAAACCACTAACAGTCAGGACCCTCTCTCACAGAGACCAAGGATAATGTTTCCAAATCTCGAAAGCATCTTCGGCAAGAAGAAGCTGATTTGAGGGATGCCCGGTCCATCACACAAGCACTTGAGGGAAGGATCGAGAAGCTTCGATTGGAGAACGAAGAACGATCGGAAAAGAGCACCGAGGAATCGGGCCAATACTATAATTCAAGAGCAGCAGCAGCGAAAACGCCACTACATGATGGCACTCAGGGATCTAGTGAAAGCTTTCAACAAGTTTGTCGATGAGCAATTGGCCGCGATGCTAGCAGCTGAAGATCTTGGTGGTCCTACAGTAGGCGATTCAGTAGAAGTAGATGAGGAGATGTTGAAGGCAGGCTTCAAATCAGCAAGGGAGAGCAAGGAAGGTGGACGCAGATATTGCGAAGACCGAGGCAAAGCGGAAAATGCGTAATGACGAGATCTGGGATTCCGAGAATGGTAATGAAGATGAAGAAATTGGTGTACGAAGTGAGAAGGAGGCCGCCCTGGCAAGTTTCCGAACCCTGACCGAAGACCTTTTGAACGCCGCTGCTGGAGATGAGGATTCAGATTCCTACATCAACATATCGCGAGAGTCGGCAGCTGTTCGGTTTCTGGTTCGAGCGAAGGTCGCGCAATTTCATACCGATGATGCAAGAAAGCTGCGACTGGTAGACTTCGGCCGAGGATGGGACAACTGACTTTTGATACGATCGAAATGTGCGACGTTGAACCTTCAGACTCAGTAACACTGTTCATCCTATACTAACACTCCTCGCTAATCAACTGTATCTCTCAGCGAGGCACAACGGTGATGATGTAGAATGCATGTAGATTCAGTGGTGGGGCCATCAGCCATTATGTAGCTGATGGAGAACAAAGCACTGCTATCTATGGCTAGCTACATGAAAGGAATAATGATGGAATAGCATGGAAGGATGTAGGAAGGACGCATGCATAGAAGGAACTAGACACGCTGACAGGATCCATACTTTTGGGGTATGAATTAGTAATTCGCCCGACGGACGCTTCCACCGCCTAAGGCCGGGTCGAATGCTAGAGACCGTTGCCATACCTACTCTCTCTTAATAGACGGCCGACCGTAGCTCTCTCTTAATAGACGGCTGACCGTAGGCTGGCTGACTCTAATGCCCCACTCTTCCTCCAGGAATACCGCCAGCTCGTCTTACGGTTTCCGACTCTGATACTCTAGAAGAGCCTCCTTTGCAGCGGTGGTACGAGTAAGTCGACGAGGACGGCCATTAGGTAGGGCGTGAGGTAGACGGCCCATAGTATAATACATCTGTAAGCGCTGATTCCACCTATAAACAGTACTAAGAGAACAGCGGACCTCTTTGGCTACTTGCGAAGGCTTTCAGTAGGAATGAAGAAGATGCTCGGCCTTCGCCTGAGTAGGAGTATCAAGGGAAACAACCATGGCGATTGGGGGGCTGAGGAACATGCCAAGACTTCAGTATAGCTTCATTTTTTCATTTGGGACCTATGCTAACGATAGCAGTGTTATTAAAGGATTTTGCGGAGAGATTTCTATGCTACAGTACGAATTTCGGTGTGTGGTGTGAAAGATCTCGGGTGCCAAGCATTCCAGATGTTTTTGAATACGCTAAAGGTATAACCCTACCGCCAAGCACCTATTCTACATGTAGCTAGCTGCAAATGCCTGCAAGGAAGTCACGCCTCATAACTAGATTCCTAAGCTCCTCGAATAAATGTTTGCCTTGTCCCCTGATATCGTCTCCACACTCTTGGCTTGCTGCTTTCTCGACAGTCCTTCAACCATTACGCTCTAGGGTTTGGGAGTACGTCGCAAGCATGGCTGCCTCCCATGACCCTCCATCCCGAACTTTAGAGGCTAACCACGCTGACGAGGGGGAATGGAGGCAAGCTACCGATCAAGACTGGCCCACACAGCTTGTCTCAAGCATTCACCATGGCAAGTACCTCATCTTAATAGCATCGACCGCTGTACAGCTGACCTTTCAGGCCCTTATATAGGCCCTCAAGGCCATGTCGACAGCAGGCTTCAGGCTGAAACCGATGAAGCTATTCTCGAGGGCATTGTTTCCGGAGACTCCAGTCAACCTTCTCCACAAGCTTTCCAACAACACTCTCAGCAAGCACCGATAAAGGTGCTCACTCGACCCGCCTCCTCAGGTAAAGACCCCGCTGCTGGCTTCTCCTTCACCAAAGCCAAGCCAGTTCAACAGTTTGACTTCCGAAGACCGAAGCAAACCCCCGTTAACCTCACTGAGACACGCTCCCACCAGTCGCCACCCCTATCAGACACCAGTCGAGCTGTTCAAAATGCCGTCAATACCGAAGCCCACCGAGTCTTCTCATGTAAGCATGATTATACTTCAGTGCCTTTTCCAAACTCACCGCCCACTATAACAACTCTCACGTCCGATCACAGTCTCGCCGAAACCGTGAAAGTCGTCCATCAACTATCATTTATCAAGCAGAATCGTTCGGCCAAGACCTCCAAAGATCCTTTGACCTCAGTGGCTGGTGCTCCCAAGGTTGTCAAATCCCGCCAGAGAAAGACCACGACAGGCCTAGCTACGGTTGGTCCTCCGTCACCCAAGGAAACCTATATAGAGGGTGATATCATAAAACTACTCATGTATCATCGATGGCAGGGGCAGCAAGAGCTCGAATATTTCAGGACTACAGAACACCAGATGGAGGCTGAAATCCAACAGCTACGAGACATGATCAATTATCTCTCTGGTCAATTACATGAGGTCGTACAACGTGAGACTTGGAAGACTGCCAAATTTTTAAGACTCAAGGCCAACAAGCCGATCTGGGAAAGCAAGATTAAGCAGCTGAATGACTATGTCAAAGGCGTCACAAATGATCACAAGCGGCTTGGAGAGGATGCGGATGACTTGCACAAAAAGCATGAAGATGTCTTCTTAGCCAGAAATGAACTACACTATACACTGGAGGATTCCCAGAAGTCAGCAGAGCAGGAGCGCATCAGATCCCAACAACTTGGGGACGAGGCCCGTCATAGAATCGAGAATCTTGCCCAGACTGTACAACATCAAAGTACCCAGCTTCGAGGCGACGAAAGTTTGCTTATGGCCGAACGAGAGAGAAGCAACCGCCTGGAAGACCAGATTTCCAGGATCACTGCCAGTCATGGGCGATTATTGGAAATTTTCACCAGCCATCGCGATACTATCACTAGCAAAATCGACGATCTGTTGCACCAGGCCCAGTCTATCGTCCCGCCCAACAAAAATTCAGAGTCAGAGTCCCATGGCCAGGTTGGGCCAATGCTAGAGCAATGCTTCACAATCTTGCAAAAGCTTCACAATGCGGATACTGTCAAGCCAGAAGACCTCCGAAAGCTCAATGATAATATGGACAGCTTTGTCGAAGGGTACGTGCCTTTCGTCTAGTCGATCATAACCATGCTAACACAAAGATAGGATTGCTCGTTCCGTCGAAGCTTGCGAGGAAAGTTCTAACTCGATGGAGGCAGGACAAAAGCAGCTTGCGCTGGCTGTGCAGGATCAACTTCGGGCCTTAAGCGGTAACATCATTTCTGAACACGCCTTGTCAGAACAAATCAGCGACCTTCGGGAGGTGAGGGCTACTGTTCGAGAACAGTTACAGGCAACCGAGAGCTCACTTGCGGACGCTCGCCGAGAAGTTATAGCTCTCCGACTCAAAGACCAAGAGCAGTCGCGAAGGATTGTGACTTTAGAGACTGTTGCAGCCAGAGGTCACAGCCAACCTACAGAGGCCTCACAAGCTTTACTCCACATCCAGGAGCTTGACCCTCGAAATAGAACTCTTCAGAGCGAAATTGTCAGTTTAAGGAAAGAAGCTGCAGATCTTTCCAGTCAACTTCAGCAAAGTTCCACAGATGCTAGAGAATCGACTGAACGTTTGGCTACTAGCCAAGAACAACTCGAGACTGCGTGCAAAGAAACAACGAAAGTGCGAGAAAAAATGTTAACGAGCGAGAGCCAAGCTATGGCTAAGCGGGATCGACTGAGAAGAAAGCTATCAAAGGCAGCGAACATGCAGATTGCAAATATGCAAAGCGAGCACATGAACGCTATCCAGCAGCTGAGATTGGAGAAGTCCCCGGCCCAAGAGAAGTTAAAGAACGTAACCAGACAAGTCAATATGCTGAAAGCGGAGAAAGAGAAATCAGAAAAGGAGACTGCTCAGTTGCAAGTATTGCTGAAAGAGGCACAGAGCGAGAAAGAGGCTGTTATCGGGACAAGGAAGGCTCTCCAGCTTCATCTGAAGGAAATCATCGTGCGGAACACTGAAAAGAATTACGAATATTCGGGCTTGCAAGCCATGTTGAACAGGGCGAACGATCAAGTAAAAGCCAAGAATCTGGACATCATGGCACTTCAAGCAACGCTGGCTACGAGGCCTAGCTCGTCTAGGATGGTTGGGCAAAGCCCTTCCGTTCGAGGTACGCAACCAGCTCACAGAATACATACTCAGCATCGAGACTCCCAGCACGCCTCGATAGATCAAAGCTCTTCCGTGCGGCCCGCGACTCCTAAATCCTCTATGCAAATACTAGAGGATTCACAACCACCTGAATCCTCACCCTTCGTAAGCCTTGACGAATTACACCAGTATGACCCTTTTGCCGGCTATGCTCGAGAAGAGTCTCAAACCATAGCTGGTGAGGATATATCTCACCTGTTCCCATCGACTCCTGGAGCCGATTCCCGTGCCCAAGACCACGATTACTCCCGGAACTCGGTATTCCATAAAACGGTACTTTCTGAGACGCAGCGAAGACAGCAACGATCGTTTCGCGAAACTACACCACATACCGGCTCTCGTACCACAGATGAGTCTTACTCGCAGTCGCAGGCGCGCATTCATTCCAAAGCTGGGCATAATTACGCGATGCCCAGATCTTCAACAGCCACCTCTACTACTCAAGTCACCGCTCATGGTTATGACACCAAAAATCCAAGCTCGCATAGAGAAGTGAGCATCACTCGAGATTCGACCAAGCCACAAGGCAGCGTTAAAGATCCTAGACAGGGAAAGCTTAGCACTGTTGCGGCCGACTTCAACGATACAAATTCGCAGGTTCGGCCAAGTAAGGTGCAAGAAGCTGGACCTAAGCAGGCGAAGGCCCTTGGACCAATCATCGAAGACTCTCAGTCGCCCTTTCTGAATGGTCGTAGCCGAAAGATGACAAGGAGAAAATCAAGCGCTCCGAAAGGTGTGGCCCGATCCAAAGCTTCTGGACTATGTTGAGAAAATCGTGTTTTAGATAATAAGTTTACCCGACGGTTCGCTCAAGCCTAAAGCCACTTCGATATTGCCCCAGCGGAATTGCTTCATCCATATCGTTCATTTGTTAGTTGATGATGGCACCGTTATACTTGCTCATTGCAACTAACACCCCGAGCTTCTATCAATGTATCTCCTGCAGCTATTCTTGAGGAAGCGTACGATTGCAGATGCTGTACATTAGCTGCATTGATCCTAGACAGATAGCATCTGGCAAGTAGACTAGCTCGAACCCTTGCTTGTCCAACGCACATCAGGTCATCAATTCAACACCGTGCCAAGTATGCCATATCGTAGTATCGGAAGCGATCATGTCAACATATTCGCCCTTTGCGCCCTTGTTGAAGTCTGATCCGAATTCATCCATAAGCTTGCCAACGACAACGCTACCTTCAGTACCAGCGTTCTCAACTGATGAATTTGATGACGGCTTATTGTTTTTCTATGGAGTTTGTGTGCTACTTATAGTTATTGCCAAGCACAATAGGGCTGAGATGCTGAACTCCAACATCGTCCGAGTAATGGCGCTCTTAATGATACTGACACACAGCTGTTAATCAAAGTTGGTGGGCTTGACGGAGCCTAGCGCATTGGCGGCAGCTTTCAAGAGTGCAGTCCGTCCACCTGGTTGGATACCTTACTCTACAACTACACGGGTCGCGTTCAAAGCATCAACAGCGCTTCTCTCCAACTTCAATTTCGGAAGCACCTCCAACCTTAATCACAGCCACACCTCCGGACAGCTGAGCCAGGCGCTCTTACAGCTTCTCCTTCTCGTAGTCGAACGTTGATGGATCATCCATAACGCCGCGAATCTGCTCGCACCTCTGTGCTATTACGTCTACGCTGCCCTCGCCGTTCAGAATAATGATGTCCTCTTTCGTAATCGTAACCGAGCCAGTTAATCCAAGCATCTCCGGCGTAGCTTTCTCCAATTTGATATCAAGCTTGACCGTGAACACAGTGGCGTTGGTGAGAATGCCGAGATCGCCCAGAATGGAAAACGTTGGAATGATTTGATTGATTGATTGATTACATCATACTACCCTGAAGTCTTGCCCTAGTGGCCGACTATGCGAGTTACGTAATCTATCTGATCCTTTCGGCCAATCATATGGTCTCAAATAAATGAGGCTATACAAGTCACCGTCATGGTTCTGCATCTTGCTGTACTTGATCCTTGGGAAGGGGTGCACCCTACATCGCTGGGGCCCTCCCGTCTTGACCGTGTCCTTCTTTTTGACCGCCCACCCTAGTGAATCCTTGTTGTTGGTCCTCATCAAGGGCTTGATATTGCCCAATAAGCCCAGTACTCCTTATAAAGTCCGCCGCCATAGAGGCGTAGCGCGGCTTTGTTAGCATGTCCTTGTGAGTAATAACCCCCTCTTTCACCTTCCTTCTTTCTTCGGCCCACCACATTCCTCGCTTCTTGCTGAACAGCCTACATTCGTGAAGGATATGCCGAGCCGTCTGCTTCGCTCCACACTCGCATTCTTCATCCTCTATATCCGGTACCCATCGGTTATAAAGAAAGGCCTTGAGACCTATTTTCTCGGTTCTCATTTGCGTTATCAGCGACGTCTTAGCGCGCTTGACTCTCGAATGCAGAAGTTGTATTTGTTTCGACGGTGTTGGTTGGATCCTTCTAAGAATGCCGCCTCGCTTCTCGTTGGCCCATTCGATAGTCCATTGTTCCATCGCGTGGTCCCTGATAGCTGTCTTAACCGTCGATATCATCCTTACCTGTATGACTGACAATTGGGCTGTTTCGTTAGTGTTTACCTCCACTCTTTTGTTATGGACCACTCGCTCTCGCCAGCCAGTGGCCTTCTTCGCCTCCCTGTCCGCCCATTCATTGCCGTCGATACCGATGTGCGCCGGGATCCAGTGTAATTCTGTTGCTACCCCGAGATGCCTTAGCGAATTGATGATCTGTACTGCCTGTATCACATAGATCTGCCCCGAGTGCTTGCCCGGGTCTCCGATAGCCTGAATCGATGCTTGATTGTCCGTGTTCACTATGACTCTGCTGAGTTGCAGCCTTGTTTGGTGCACGGCTGCCATAGTTAGAGCTTGAAGAATACCATGCAGCTCCGCCGAGTACACCGTGTACCAGTCGCTTGAGCCCAAATAGACACTGAAAGTAGAACCAATGTCTGACGATACAGCTGATGCTCCCACCTTTTTATTGATCCCGCTGCCGTCTGTGTATATCATTGCATGTCCCTCATCAATCGATCTTTTGGCCAGTTCTTTGGCGGCTTTCTTGGTCTTATGAATTATCGTTTTGGGAGGCTCCCAGTCGGGAGCGGCGCTGAAAGGGCGTAGTTTCTCAATCTTATTGGTGTCGCCGTATCGTTCTTCGAATCTGTTGGTATGTCGCTCCAGTGGACTCAGTTTCCTGTTCTTCTTGGGTTTTCTTTTGGACTTCCATCGCTCGAAACGTGGCTTAATGATCTCGCCATATGCTGGACTAGTGGCGATTCGTAAGACAGCTTCCGAGGTGATCTTGTCTAGCTGTTGTTTAACTGGTAGGAGGTGCGCTTCTATATCGAGTGCTGGAATGGATGTGGCCTTGAATGCTCCAGTTATCTTCCTCTCTGCCTGAGATTGAATCCTTTGTAGCGATGAGAGGTGAGTTTTGTTGTGGCCGGCAGTGTCTTCGGGCTGGTACCATGCTGAGCAGCAGTACGTCATTTGTGGGATAATTACCGCCTGATAGAGCTGTCTCATGCTCTTGTAGTTGCCACCCCACGTCGATCCGGCAATCCTCGCCAGTGCACCGATGCTTTTGGTAGCTTTAGACCGAATCTCCTTGTTGTGGTGGCTCCATAGAAGTTTAGAGTCGATTTCGACTCCTAGATAGCGGACAAAGCGTCTCGCCTCAATGCATTGCCTCTCGTTGAGTTGCAGGGGATGGTCTAAGCTGAATCTCTGTTTTCTACTGAGGTGCAGCAGTTGATATTTGCTGGGATCAAACTCCGATCCGTGTCGTAACGCCCACTTCATACAAACTTCGTCGTGGATTTTGCGGAGTGCGTTACAGTTTTCCTCGGTGGAGTCTCCCACTGTCAGAAGGCCTATGTCGTCTACGAAGCCGGTGGCTACCGTTCCTAAGTCGGCGCGACTGTTACATTCATCAATGAGATCTGAGTTGTAGAAGAGGTAAAGTATGGGCGACAGCGGTGATCCTTGAGGAATTCCGGTTGCTATGGGAGTCTTTGGTGTGGAGTGTTCGCTTGTTTTCAGCACTGTTGTCCTATTGGACAAGAACGATTCTACCCAGTTAACTACTCTCGTGTCGATTTTTCGCTTTCGGAGGTTGTGGAGCAGTCGAGGATGAGAGACTTTATCATATGCACCTGAAACGTCTAGCAGTAACATCGTGGCTACTTTGTCAGAGTTCCAGGCCTGATATATCCTTTCTAGAAGGTAGTGGATGCCGTGTTCACATGACCGTAATCTACGGCCTCCCATGTGTGTGGCCGGTAGGAGTCCATGTGTCTCCGCAAGATACGCTATTCTCCTAGCAAGAATAAACTCCATTGCCTTTCCTATGGTGTTAAGCAGAGCTATTGGCCGGTATCCTTTAGGAATCGAGTGGTCCTTGCCCGGCTTCGGAAGGACAATTGTTATCGATGTCCTAAAGTGCTCTGGGCAGTAGCCGTTCGTCATGCATGCATTGAATATTCTATGTAGATGAGGGAGTAACGGCTCCAGGATCTCCTTGAGAATCAGGTTGGGGATCGCGTCTCCCCCGGTGCTCTCTTTGACGGTGCCTGCGTTATGGCCTTTCTTATCTCATTCACGGTGATCGTGCCCATCAGGTAGGCTTGTGGGTACGCCGTGTCGACGCTGATATCATCTAAATCCGCCTGTACCGGTGGTGGGAAGAACGTTCTCATAAGAAGATCTGCCTTCGGGCCTGGTTCGTTGTATTCTCGTTTATCTTTGTCAAATAGCGGAGGGAGACACGCCTGTGTTGTAAGTTGTTTTCTGGCCCACTTGGTCTTTTTCCACATCATTTGCGGCGACTCACACGCCTCTGCCACGAACTCTCTGAACGCCTTCCTGGTAGTTCTCTTGATCAGGTTGTTTTTGAAGTTCTTGGCGACTTTATACTCATCCCATGCTTCCTCCGAGAGCGTCGTTCTCCAGCTTCTTTTCAGCGATTTGCAACGCCTTTGTGCTTCCTTACATTCTGGCGTGAATCCCGGTCTAGACCGTGGCGACAACCTGATGACCGGAGTGGACTCCTCTATGGCCGCTTGGATAGAGTCAATAATGGCCGCTACTTGATGATCGATGCCATCGTTAGTGAGGTTTTCACCATTCCCCTGGGGATTGGCTAGGCACTCTTTCGATGCCATGGCTCTAGCGAGTGTCTCTCTCAGGACCTCGGCGTCCAGTTTGTTGAAGTTTCGGCGTGTCGTTGGTGCTAACTCCATCACGGCCAGCTCAAGCTTTGTGAGAATTGGGAGGTGGTCAGATCCGCTTTCGAAATCATTTCCGATATTGCAGTTAATGACATTTGCTGTTAGTGCTGGAGTGGCGAATAGTAGGTCTATTGTTGTTTGACAGTTTTCTTCGTATGTCACCGTTTCTACTGGCAATGCTTGTTCCATGGCGAATTCTTCCGCTATGAGTATTAGTTCTTCTGCTCTCTCATCGATACGAGCATCCGGTCCCCCCACATCGTGTGGTGAAGATTGAAGTCGCCTAGCATGATCTGTTCGTCATCCTTAGACTTCGCAAGCGTCTCATGTAATTCGTCAAGTCCGTCTGTTTGTTGGTCGCCGGGGTTGTAGATGTTGTGTATGCGTATAATTCTATTGTTTTCGGACTTGATGTTAAGAGTGCAGAGGTCCGGTGAGTGATATGATGGGTACCATTGCTTTGGTGATATTCTCTTGTTGATATAGAAGCACACTCGTGTGTTGTTATGGTAGGGGTAGATCAAGTTGAATCTATCCTTCAGGGGATGATACGACGTGTTTGTGTTGGTGTTTCTCCAGGGCTCCTGAATTGCTACTATATCGATGTCATAGATCTTTTCATTATCGAAGAGTTCTACCATGACCGTTCTGGATTTCCTTGTGTTGTATTGCAGTATTGATAGCTGACTGGGGTGTGCTACCATTTCTCGGTGTTATTGTTAGTGTTGCTTACTCGCTCCGCCCAGTCCATAGAGTCCGTATCCCCTTCCTGAGTGTTCTCCTTTTCTTGGTCGTCGATGGACCGGATATGTCTCTTTTTGTTCCCATTGACGGGGACCGCAATTCTCTCATTGCCACTCTTTTGACTCAGGGGCTGTCTGTCGTCCTCGGGGTTGTTAATTTCCCCTGCCGCTATACCGTCCTCATATCGTTTGGCTTCGTCTACTGCTTTGGAGGGCGATCTGTTTCTAGGCGAGGCCCTTGTTGGTGATGTGGAAGCATACCTCCTTCCACTCGGCTGGAGATTCGGTGTAGTAGTTCTTTCGAGGTCCGGCGCTCTGATTCCTCCCCTGCTGACTATCCTACCTCTGCCTGCTGGCCCACCGCGCGTGGATGCCAGCCTCGGGAAAAATTCCTCGTTTCGCCCACGATTGGACGCATTCTGAAAGTAGTTGTTTGATTGATCGCTTGTTTGGTAGCTAGCCGGTGCCTCCTTCGTTGTCACGAATCGTGAAGGAGTCCATTGTCTCGCCATTCTCATTCTCGCTATCTCCCTCTTCTTTGCTGTACATACCTTGTTCCAAGCCTCATGTGGTCCCTCGCAAACCGGGCATTTGCGAGTGTCGGCCGTGCAATCTTTATGATGATGCTCCCCTGAGCATTTCCCGCACACTGAGTGATCCTTTTTAGGGCATGCAGTCGACAGGTGACCGTATTTCCAGCATACGAAGCATTGCTTCGATCTACACTGCTTGTTGTAGACGCAACAGCCATGTAGTTCCGAACCGATAACTAGGCCTTCTTCCAGTGCTCTATTTCCTTCCTCTGGGGATGCTAATTCGATGATCAATGAACCCTTGTCATAACCCTCTTTATTCGCGCCGAACCAGCCCAGCCACACTATGTCGAGGCTCAGCGTGTTGGCGTTCTCGTTCTGAACCCTTTTGATTGCCGTGGCCATGTCTTTGGTGTCGAATGTATTGATCCTCACTCCATGGAGTAGGAGGCCATACGTTTTGGTGATCACTCTCGCGCTGCCACTTATCTTCAGAGTCCAATCCTTGCTTTTTCTCAGTCTGTTCGCCTCCTCCTCATTTGCAGCCATGATGCATATATCGCCACTCGCTAGCCTCCTGGCCGTCCTGACAGGTTTCCTTGTGGTGTCCGTGCTCTTTATATATCCATTGACCATCGTGGTCATCTCGCTCGGTGTCTTCCCCTCCAATGCTTTGCTTGCTGTCTCGTCTTGTAGCTTTACAATGATCTCGTTTAGCTTGTTATATGGTGCTTGGCCTTGTTTCGGCATTGCTGGTGGTACAATGGGGATTCCTCCGGTGGTGGAGGAGGATGTCGAGGACCGGCCCAGTACGCTGGCGTAGCTGGCCGTCGATGTATTGCTTCCCAGGCTAGCTGCCTGGTGCTTGATATGCGTAATCTTTTCCTCCATATTGCTGTCTCGGTTGCTTGAGTCAATGGCTAGTTTGCGTACTTCGTCCAAGACTGTCTGGATTTTGGGTTCATCGTTCGCCCTTTCTGCAAATGCTACCGCCGCCCTGAGGGCAGCAGCTAGAAAACGTTGGAATACTCGCCACAGCTTGACTGGGGGCTAGTGAGGGAGAGGCACAGCACACACTTATGGCAGGATAGCCGAGATTGCCATGTTGGAAGAGCCTTGAATAGGCGGTGTTCCCACCTGTTTTTTGCTCCTCATTCTTGTTCCTCTCGTCGCAAGAAGAGGTTTTTTTGCACTTTTCCCACCCACCCGCGCCTTGTTTTTTCAGCGTTTCCTTGTACTTAGACTCCAGGTCTTCTACCTTACGTAGAGGGAGTTTTCCTAGGGCTGAGCTGCATAGTGGACCGCTGTCTACGTGCTGCTGGGCCTTAGGACCCAGCCAATCATCATTTAGAACTCATTTGTGCGTGTAGTTTTCGTGGGACGTCTAGCGAGACAGCACTAGTTGGCACTGAGAAAATCACACACACACCACCAAAAGTAGTACTGAATAGATGAATCTTCTCCCATATCGCATTCTACCACCTTCCTTATCATATTTGAAGCTCCTGTATATCTCGCGTAGCCGATCCTTGGTGTTTTGCCTTAGTGTTCGTTTCGAAATGCTGTAAGGGTGGAAGTACTCGGAGCGAACTGATAGGCTCGCTTGCGTCGCTTGCCAGGCTACGCAGCTAGGGCGAGTATCCAACATGCTTGACAAAGTCTTAAATACTTGCGAGTCCCCTTTCCCCTTCTTCTTTCTTTAGTTATTAGTTCATCTAGCAACTGATCTATCTATTCTATCAACTACGCATCTAGACCTCGTGATTGCATAGCTGCTACGTAGTTTCATTGAAAGAGGCCTTACTACCTCACAAATGCCTCCCAATCGACGCAGTCAGAGGTCCCCCCCCCCCACTACCGACCTCCCCTCCGGCCAGACAGTCTTAAGAGGCCTAAGGGCCCCTTCTGCAACCACATATTTTGGAAATAACCCCTACTTATTTCCACTAAATAACGCCACCACTTGGCTAATGAAAACAAGGCTTGAAAATAACGCTAGAATATTTCCAAAACAAGTAGAATATGTGTACGGTTCCGTTCTGTAACCCTGTTTCTGAGGCTGAGTCAGAATCGTCGCAAAAATTGTCTTCTCCGTAAAAAACCATTGAATTCCTACCATTCCACATCACCATGGCCGAGATACCTGCTGCTACTGCTGCACAGGCTTTGACTATCATTGGTACTCCTATTACTCCCATTATTGCCCCAAATGAGCCTGCTCCATGTCTACCGGTACCGGTGTCTCATTGCCTATGATTTGGAGCCAGACTATGAAGGCAACATTTCGAAATGGTACAACAATATCGTCTTAGCAAGAGAGTAGACACCGGCTTCAAATCTGAAGCATGGATAAGAAAAAGAGAATAATATATATATATCGGTCATAGATGTCCACTATTCTTGGCGTTCTTAGCCTTATTTTGGCTGAAAACAACCCTCGAGGGTTGTTTTCAGATATTTTCAAGCCTGTTTTCGCTTAATAAGCGAAAATATGTGGAAATATGGTTACAGAACGATACCCTGTATATATTTGACGCTAAGCTGAAAATTAGTGGAAATATCTAGGGGTTATTTCCAAAATATGTGGTTGCAGAAGGGGCTCTAAAGTACTTACTCGATAGTGTTAAGGAATCATTATGGTTTGACTCATATATGTGTGTGGTGTAAAAGATGTTGATTAATCTATGTGGTCTGCAGGCAGATATGTGCGGTGCCAAGCCTACGCTAGTGGCCCTATGAGTGTCCCTGAGGCATCTCATGACAATTGCCCACAAAAAACAGAGAAATGCCATGTCCTCATGGCAAGAAGTATGCATGCATGGTTCTTTTCGAAAAACCGGAAAGAAATGGAGACACCGTGCTAATTAGTGGTGTGATTCCCCCGAGATCTTCTGTCGCAGTGAAACCCTTCGAATAGTACCGGAGCACGACATCAGACGGTTTTAATTCGTCCAAATATGCATCGTCCGATGTCCTCCTGCAGTGGCCCAATTGGCTGTGATCGTCGCAGTAGATCCTTCTCTTGTTTCGTCATTGCAGTGATGTACCATATCAATGCAGTGGGGATGATAGGCCAAGTTGCAGTGGTGTTCTCCGCTTGCTGAGTGATGACTTGACGTGGGATCGTAGAGAGCTGAGCCGTGTTCTTGGTGCTGATGGCCTTGCTGCCGCTTGCTTTCTCCGCCGTGTTCTCCGCATTTGCCTGTTGTAGTTCCTCCTCTTGCTCAACTGAGTGCTCTGGCTGAGTGGCTAATTGAGTGGATTGGTGAGCTGGCTGAGTGATTGGCTGAGTGGCTGGCTGGATAGCTGGCTGGACGGCTTGTAGAGACCTCTTATATTGCTGGCGAGTCTTTTGATTCCGGTGCTTCTTCTTCTGCTGTATTGCACGTACGAATGGACACTCCGGTGATCGAGTAGCGTGGAAATCGAATGGACTACCGTCACTGTCCCAGTCACAGGGATCAAGACCGCATAGTGAGCATACAGTGAGATCCGGAGATGGAAAAGTAGGGTCGTATTCTCGATGAAAGCCAGCACGGGCTACGGTAGAGGCACTTGGACATACGTGTGGCCATGACGTGAATGAGGCAAGTCTTGCAGCGTATGAATTCATGATATCGATAGGCCTAGCGAAAGGATCGATGTGGGCGTGGGTTTTGTCAAAAGGTACTCGATGACAGCGAGTGTGTTAGAGGTCCGGCTTGGAGCGTTGCACTATTAGGTGTTGATGCAGGCTTTGCGTAAACGTCTGATGACGCCTGGATATCCTATGAAGTAGGGCCAGGTGTTGCTACCAATTGTTAAGGAATCATTATGGTTTGACTCATATATGTGTGTGGTGTAAAAGATGTTGATTAATCTATGTGGTCTGCAGGCAGATATGTGCGGTGCCAAGCCTACGCTAGTGGCCCTATGAGTGTCCCTGAGGCATCTCATGACAGATAGTCCTAATTAAAAAAATAATTATTAATTTAATTCATAGGCCTTTACTCGTAATATATAATATTAGAATATTAAAAATTTCTTTTATTATTATTATAATTGCTATTACTATAATAAATAAAATAATTTTATAAAAGTAATTAATCAGTATATATAAAAGAATAAGATAGGGCTGAGCTTGAAAACCTTGAATTTGTATGTGCAGCCAATCATAAATTCAGGGTCACTACGGAGTACGCTCTTTGATTAGACCGGCTGAGTCATCGCGGGTAAATAAATTAGCGTCCGCAACCATCAAAAAAATAGGACAGCCGGACAGCCCTGATCAAAAAACAGTTATACATTATTTGATTTCAGAATAACTTTTTTATTTTCTATTAAAGTTTTGAGATTTTTTTTTTAATTAAAGAACGAAATGTGGGCTTCCAGAGAGAAAAAGAATTCTCATATTTAGTCTTATATTATTAAAGCGCAAGGAATTCAAAATATCGCTTATCAAAGTTCGCTTACAGGTATACATTATTTGATTTTAGAATAACTTTTTTGTTTTCTATTAAAATTTTGGGTTTCCTTTTTTTAATTATAGAATAAAATGTGGGCTTTTAGATAAAAAAAGAATTTTTAAATTTAGTCTTATAATTATTAAAGTGCAAGGAATTCAAATATCGCTCACCTATTTACTCGATAGCCCTGATCAAAAAAAAAAAATGAATTTAATTCATAGGCCTTTTGCGCATTTTGTACTGAGAATTGCGCTTCAAAAATCGCGTGGGCCAATGATTACCTAGGTACTTGGTGGGGCCAGGGCGCTCGCGGAGTATGGAGTTTGCAGCTCTTTTAAGCATCGGACGACGACAAGACATTCCCAATCCATCGAGCCGTTGTATGTACTGATGTAGGGCCTGTTCTTCATGATCTGTGAGCGCGTAAGAGTGGCTGTCTTTGGGGGGGATCCCATTGTAGCGATTTAGGAGCTGATCGTAGGGCACGTTGAATTCAGCAGCCAATCGAGTGACTTTGGGCTTTGTTCCGGGGGCAATAGTGGCTAAAGCCTTCTGGATACGTTCCTGAATGACGGCATATGAGTCAGGCATGGTTGTGGTTGTGGTAGATAGGTGAGGGATGGATGGTTTAAATTATTGAAAAAATTGGTGTTGGGGCGGCCTTAGCGTTGGGGTGGCCCATACTAAGTGTAGCGTGTTCCCATACGATTACTCTTTCTTTTATAACGTCTTTATGTTACGAGCGTACCCTTGACACACCACTCAGCCCTATGGCCTAGTGCCTTGGCGGAGGCATCTCCTACTATATCATGCCTCCTTCCTACATACATAGTTCGGTAGCCTTATTATCCTTGATCTACCTCACCCATACTGGTATCGCACCTATGCTGGTCCTGACACTTATAGTAAGGCTCCTTCGTACACCCCCCGGCGAAGAGAACTGACGGGTTTTTCACTTTCTGAGCACCCTTTTGCCATTTTCGGGACTGGCATCTAAGCGAAACGAGAAGGAATGGTCAACAAATTCGCGTCAAGCGACCGAGCCTGATAAAGAAAACGCTGGGTAATTCTATCATACAGAAACTCTCACAATGTGAGGCTCACATACACCATTCGAAAGAACCTACATCAGACAGCCTACATTATCGACAGTAGCCCAATCCATCAAAAAACGAGTTCCCTACATCGAATACAAGAAACTCTTCTCCGCTCCCTTCCCCGCAAAAAGTCTATCACTGGATAACAGACCCCGGCGGACTTTCTACCATTCGAAAGAACACTGCTCAGAGTACTTACAGGCTTCACGGCGACTTGATTGGTCAAAATACAAGTGTTGCAGACCCTTGCAAAGAAACAACACTATTTGGTGTCTGCAGAGAAGCTCAGCCAAAATTTTCACTTTCACGCCTGCCTTCTCCGCCTCATTTTTACCTACATTCAACACATCATGAATTCCGACTCAAACCCACCTACATCAACACCAAGATACATACCTCCACATCGCCGATCACCTACATACCATGACCAGCCCTACCTTACATACGACGACCTACATAGAAGATATTCACCTCCCAACTCGCCATCACTCCACATGCCACAGATGCAGCGCTCTCTATCTGCTGAGGACCTTTACCAGCGATATCATGGAACATCGATTCAGCCGGGGGAGAATCAGGCTCAAGAATTCGAGACACAAGGCCAAAACTCGGCCGGGATCTCTGCTCTTCCACCCCCGTCCCCACCTCCACCCACTCCACGAGATTTCGAAGCACTTAGAGCAAATCGACATCGACTGATTTCACCGCAAATCAGACAGCCACTCAGGCAGCCGCTTAGCACTAGGCTTCCAGATCCACCTGTTTTCAATGGTGTCAGTACAAATGTTCCATTTGATGACTGGAAGATGAGAATTAATGACAAACTCACTCACAACAATGATCATTTCCCCACCTATGCTTTCAAAATTGCATACGTCATAACAAGACTCGGAGGTGAGGCTATTCAACATATATCTGCCAGACGACGTCTTAGCCCCTACTCTTCAGTCAATGCGCTTGCGCACTCCCCCAGAGCTTGAATCTCGACCCACATCCATCATCGGAACTTCCGGTGCTACTGGTCAAATTCCGGTCAATTGATTACCGCGGCTTTCTGGGCTTCACTCGTTCGGACGCCAGTTATTCATCTCCCTAGACTCGAAACAGTCACTTTTTACAATTCACCAACCACTCTTTGCATTGACTTGAGACATCAGGTGACTTGAGTCGTCCAGTGCTGGAAATCCTTACATCATGGACCAAACTTATCAACAAGACTTCCAAAAAATGCAAGAACTTGATGTATGCTGTCAAAATGGCAGATTTGAGGATATGCCATTGAGCAACGAGCTCCTTGATTCCTTCGATATGGATTTCTATAAAGCAAAAACGCCTGGGTGTCTTCCGTCACCCAACTGCTCCAACCCTGATTTACCTGGCAGTGGTCGACAGAGTCCATTTGCAAGCGGATATGGCTCCCAGCCAAGCCATGGAAGCTCGGGTACGGACAGCAATCCTTCGGGCCTACACCTATTACAACAATCGCATGAGTCGCGCAAAAATACAACCCCGAATACAAGCAACGGCCACCCCAGCGCAAATCAAAGCTTCTCGAATGCAAGCAACAATTCCCCAAAAACACTCGTGCAACAGGGGGAATCCTCAATGACAAGCGCGAGTTCTACCAATGCGAGACAAAGTCAAACTCACATTGCACCCTCTGGAGGCCTACTTTGTGTTCCAAACAATTCGTTCCAGAACCATGCAGCTACAGCATCATCGAATGATCCTTTTGAGCAAACAACACCCACTGGGAGGCCAATGTCAACATATGTACCAATTGCACCCAAAGTACTGAACAACACATCTTCCGCTAGCGTACCCGCTGAGATACAAGCTTCACCGACATTGAAGCCTCAGCACTTTGTACGACATCCTTCACATTTACGCCATCAAATTCATCCTCAGCTACCACAATTTTCACCGTTTGATACGACTGCTTCAGGTATCTTTACTACCGACCAAGTGCCAGACACCATGTCACTTAACTATGGCTTCACCGACGGCCAAGCGCCTAACGTGTCACTATCTCATGGTGACTACCAAAATGTACAGCATGCATCGAATAGGCCCCCATTCCGTCGGATCGCCAGCGCACAAAATCCAAGCCGAGGATCTCAAGTCTTGCAGAACCATCAGCCTTTTCAAGAGAGCAGCTTAAGAACTTCAGTGACATCAAACTCGGGACAAAATCCTTGGGAAGCTGGGCATTTCCAGAAGCCACAGTATCCCGACCCCCAACCAATGTTCCAACAACAATCCATTCGCTCGCCGTACATGGGCCATCACCACCTCTCAGGGTCCCCAGGGAAGTCAATGCCCAGCCACTCACCGAAGCAGTATCGTATGCAACTTAGCGACACTCGAGATGCGCGTTTCATGAGCCAGGAACCGACGGATTCCGGCTTCAACGGGTCGAGCCCAATGAGCGTAAAGCGCGAGCTGTCTTCACCTGGTTCGGATCACGTGGTGTCCACCCCCAACTTCAAGAGTCAAATGGCCCCGCGGGAGATACAGAAGAAGCGACGCGTAAAGCAGGAATTGAAGAGTAATGATGACAACGAGGCGGTCATCGATCCCGTCGCGCTTCAAACAGCGGATTTGACGCACTTGAGCCCAACAGATCACACCAATGTCGCAGCACTGGTTGATGCAATGCATAATACAGACAACGTTGAGGACAATCTAGGCATGCAGAAAACCTGGGAGAAAGTTCGCAAGGCCAAAGCGTTGAGAATTAGAGAAGTATGCGTGGACTTGTTGGTGAGTGCGAACCTTTACAGTGTGCTCTTGAAGGCAATGACATTGACTTCAGATGCTTTAGAGTTTGACTAAGCAAGCTCAACAACAAGAGGGAACTCCACTGGGGGAAAAGAGACCTATCAATCAGTATGCATCATTTGAGAAGCGTTTCGATGCCTTGTGCGAGACTCTTACGGTACTGCCGCCCTCTCTCATTCACTATGTTCGGCGGACTCTGCTGATATTGTGGTCTTAGTTTCAAAAGACGGTGTGCAAGCATTTGATAGAGCCTCCTTACTCTTACAGTGTGGTTGACGATCCGCAATACGCGAAAGATGTATGTTCCGTTCTTCAGCATTTACTTGATCCAAAGCTGACATTCTGCAGCGCGTCAAGAACAACCGCCGAATCAATTATCAGAAGGCAGAGGCAATCCGTCTAGGGCGTGAGCATCTGGGTGAGAAAGGTCAGGGCAAAGGAAAGCCCATGATAAAGACGAAGAAGCGTGGACAAGCCCAAATGGAAGATGATCAAGATGATGAGGAGAAATTGGGTGACGAGCCGTTAAGTGACGGAGAAACGGATAGGTCGCTTTCCGCGCTTGAACCCAAGTTTGCTCGTCCAAATCCTCATACTCCTAAGAGGACCAAGCCGTCTACAAACAGCAACCAGCATCACCAGCAGAAAGCCAGCCTTGAAGCCGCATATTTACTACAGGCTCAGAATCTGGAAGACCCCTTCGCTCAAGACTTGCACCAGAACATTTATGCTTCCCCTCAGCGGCCGGAACACGACCGAACGCTCCATAGACTTGCCGCCAGTCAGCAAATGCCCACTCTGGATCAACACTGCGACTTTCAATCCAGCAATGAAACCGGGAACGTTTTTTACGGAGACAATTCCACTGGTGGCAGTGACAGTGAGGGTCTTGGCGGTATTGGCTACGGATATAGTTGAGCCTGGCGAGGACTTGCAGGTGCTTTGGCATTTCGATACTTCGGCTTCAGCACACACCATCGGAAGCCTCTTCAGTCTTGAGGGTGGCGGCACTGTCTCCAGCATCTATTCTAAGAGTATGTATAAGTCATGCATACTTAGCTTAGACAGGTTTAGCAATGTGATTCAAAAGAATGATTCAACACGAAAAAGGTAATAATTCAATAGGCTAACCATACAGGGTAATACTTAGCGTCGTCGATCACCTCCAAATTGAATCACTGTTTTATGTTATGAAACAGTGATTCAAATGCATAGTTGCCTAGTTAGGTTTTCGCACCGTAGTTTCTTCGGGGTGTAACCCCCGGAACCCCCTTTAGGGTAATTCACTTTCTTGCCTTATTGAGTAAAGTCGTAGGGCTGTAAGGCTGTTCCCGCTTTGAATCATTTTATTGAATCACATTGCTAAACCTGTCTAATGTAGAGGGTCATCCGAACTTCAATTTTTCTAAGTCTTGCAGTGGTAGCCCTATAGGGCTGCCCACCAAAACCATATCTATAATACCGTTATATAATATTATTACTAGGCTTTATATAGTATAATATCGTCCCCTTATCGAGTCGATACTCGAGGCGAGTTTTATACCTTTATAAGAATAATAATTAAGATCTATAATATAGTTAAACTATCTTAAATCGAGATAAAACGCGCTATATTTAAAAACTATAGTATTACGATTTATTTATCTACTATTTTATATAATTAATTAATATACATCGAATATTCTCGTATAATATCGAATTGTTTAATAAGATATTTAGTTAGAGTTATTAAGCGAAGATAGAATTTTAAATAAATAACTTATAAGAAGATTATAACGAGTATTAATCTTAATATCTTTAGATTTATAATTTAATTTTAAAGAGCTTTAAAAAAGCTAAGATGTTGTCGATGTATAGCTTATTCTCGACCTTTTATCTATAAGTACTATTAATTACTAGACTATAGATCTATAAAGATACGAGAATATCGTATTATATATACGATTATACTCTATTAAACTCTATAAGCTTAGATATTATTAGAGCTAGGCCTAATATTATTACTATAACTTAAGCTAAAAAACGTCTTATCTTTACGAATTACGATTAAAATCTTTATTAGATTATAAATAATTAGACTCGAGTAATCTAAACTAATAAGACTTTATTTAAAAGTTTAAAACTAAAAATCGAGAATATATATTTATTACGCGTCGATTAAGGGGTTAATAATATTAAGACTATATTAAATATATTTATTAATTAAAATAAAGTTCTTTTATAATCTAGAATATAATTAATTAAGAATTTAAGTTAAAACTTATATTTCTAATTAAGAGATCTAGTTATAAAGAAATTAACTTTAAAATATATATAAAGTAAGTTCTTAAAAGAAGTATTTAATTATAGAGATAAATAATTGAATACTAAGAGTTTTAAACTATTACTATCTAATAATTTAAAAAAGAAAAACTCGATATTTATAAAAGATAATGCTAAAATCTATATAGACTATATTAAAAATGTTTATTATAATGTTACGGTTTCCTCTACTAGGCGTCCCGATTGGGCTTAGTGCCTTGGCACTGCGGTACTATAAAGACTTCTTCTACTGCAGGCCTCCTATAATTCATACATTATCACACCACACACATATATTATTCATGCATATGATTTCACTTAGAACTATTCCTTAACAATGGTAGCAACACCCTGGTTCTGATCAGGGTAGCCTTCTTATTGCTTTCGCCCACCTCGCCTTCGTCCAGCACCTACACGGATCCTACAACACTCACTATCGAAGAAATACATAGAGAATACCACTCCTATCGGGTGTAGTAACGTCCATGATCGGATAACGAGAATGACTGGGCTTCGAGAATCTTAGTAAGCACATACAAAATTTAGTAGTCTAACCGCATATAGTATAGGTTTGTCAGCAAGGGTCTTTCTACAAAACAATAATTGAAGTTCAAATATCTACCTCGCTATTTCTCTACCCCTTCTTCGTCCTCTCTACTACTAGTCTAATATCTAGCTTATAATACTTAATTAAATAATTATAACTTAGAAGAAGCCTCTTAAGGCCGTTGCTTTCGAAATTTGTATAACTAAAGTAATAGAATTATGGTAGAAGAATTCTACTTAGAAACTCAGTAAGCTCGCTATCGAATTTAACATTCTTATATTCTTATTATATACTTATACCCGTAATCGAAAGACTCGTATATAAGGATTAGAGCTGTAAAAGCATTTTACTTAAGAAGAGGAGGATATTCTAGCTGGCTGGTGTATAAAATTGATCGAATAGGGATACCTACCTAGAGTGGACGCTTTACGTACTATAGTCTTAGAACTTCTTCAAACAAAAACAGGGGATACGGATATACGTGTAAATAAACGATAAACGGAACGATTTCTAAAACGTAATGGCTAATTGAAAATTGTATATAGTAGAGTATTAGATAATAATCGAGCGAAGGCTATATATCTCGGAATAATTCGTCGCTGGTTCAGTCTCCTAGTCAGTGTTATTATCGAGTATAAGATTTTTATAGAAAACATCTACAATTTTGATGAGAAAGGGGTTTTTATAAGCATAGCCTCTAGAGCGAAAGTTATTATAAAAATTAAAGATAAACGTCGATTTAAGACTTAGCTAGGAAATCGAGAATTAGTTATAATTATTAAGGTCGTTAACTCTATAGGGTAGGCTATTTTATTGACTCTCGTCTTTAAAGGCAAAAATCAATAAAGCAGCTAGTGGGAACAGAACCTTGTGGATGGGACAAAGATAGCTGTTAGTTTATGAGGTTGAACGAATTCGAAGCTTACGGTGGAGTGGCTGATAGAAGTCTTTGACCCCGCTATTAAAGAAGTAATATACGGTATTATATATCGACTATTAGTTCTAAATGGCTATAATAGTTATATTACGTGGCAATTCGTTATAGTATATTACGCCCGAAGGATCCTTTTCTTATATTTACCTTCTTATACGATATATCTCTTATAGTTATTTAACGTTGCTATTTTTGAACGGGCAAATTACAAATTCATACCCCAAACTATGCGATCCTTACAAATTCATACCCCATCTTACATTTTCATACCCCTCACCAAAAAAATGGGGTATGAATTTGTAAGTTGCCACTACTTGGGGTATGAAAATGTAAGTTGCCATTTCTTGGGGTATGAAAATGTAAGATGCCACCAACTTGTAGATGTAGCCGTCCCTGTGCCCTGGAAGTGTAAAGTGTACCAGAGGACGTAGTGGTGGTCAAAGACGACGGGCTTCTGTCACCTTAGTTAGTGATATGCCAAAGAGAGGTAGAGGACGGGGGTCTTGAACGATAGCGGTAGCTGCCTGGCAGATGGCGGTCGGTAGGCTCCACTGAGCGTCAGATAGTGGTCGTCGACTCCGCTGTCGATGACGGTGGTGTGGTGTGGTGTTGTGGGGTGGGGTGCTTGCGTTTGGCCCTCGAGTTGGCCCACTCGGCTTCCGTCTGATGTCTTGGAGCTGTTAAAATTTTCATTAGATGCGGTCGGAGAGATTCCCTTACTTCTATGGTCCAACGGGCCAGATCGCGGATCCTCTCCTTGATGGTTCAAAGCCTCTGCAAAATTTCGAAAGTAGGCCCTTAGGTAGCAATTCCAGGCCACTATGGCAACTTACAAAATCATACCCCTGTAGATGGCAACTTACATTTTCATACCCCTATTAATGGCATCTTACAAATTCATACCCCGTTGGGGTATGAAAATGTAAGATGAGGTATGAATTTGTAAGGATCGTATAGTTTGGGGTATGAAAATGTAATTCGCCCATTTTTGAACCACTACAGAAAGCATACGAGGATATCGTTAATAAAAAATCCGAGCTTAATATAAACTCTATTAACAAAGATTTGTTTATTAATCTTTACACTTAAGCACGAGAGTATATATTCCGTCCCGAAGTAATTCAAGCAGGCTTCAAAGCCACTGGTCTCGTATCACTATGTCCTCAAGAGGTATATAAGCGTCTGCCTCAGGAAGATCATTCTATAACTCCAGAGCCAGAGCTACCCGAGCCCGGACGGCCGTCACTAAAGACTCCAAAAACTACACAGCAACTACGACTCCAAATAGAGCTTCTTAAGACTATACGTCAAAGCCCCACAGCAGAACTTCGGCTCCGTAAACTTAAAAAGGGATTTGCTAAGCTCTACGTCGATAATATTCTTCTAAATTAATAAAATCGATTATTATTCAGCGAGAATCGAGTTCGAAAGATTAAATCCACCTCCCGAAGACTGATATTAAATAATAGCCGTCTTATAACCAAAGAAGTCGTATTTATATAGTAAATTACGACCTCTAAAGAGGAGCGAGATTAGATAAAGAAGATACGATATCGAATTATAAAGAAGGAATATTAAAAGTATTTACGAAAGAAGAATACTTACCGTAAAATACTCTTAAAGTATAAGTTTATTATTCTAGACTATAGGCCAGAAGTATATTACAATTCCTCTAACGAGACGGACGATTTAAAGGAGGATCTAATAGAGTAACTTTTCTTTAACATCATACATTAAAAATCGTCAGATATTGAGTTGAAGGCCTCTAAGGTTAGTGATGAGGAGATGGATAAGATTACTTAGTCAATTTGAGAGGGAAAATAGTGGTATTCGGGCGACGTTCTCTATATAAAGCGATTTATTCTTCGAGGGGCTTAATTAACTCAATTGACTACCATATGGGCCTATTTGAAGGTTACTACATAGACAAATACATTATTATTTCACTACATTACATATGGTTTATGGATTAAAATAGCGGAGAAAGGTGGCTAGCAGCAGCTTTATTATGGAGAACACTAGTGGTAGCCCTACCAAATTTGACCAATTATCTCTATGCGCTACTGTTAGTATGCCAAGATTCTCGAAGCCTAGTTATTCTCGTTATCCGATCATGGACGTTATCTCCAGAGTCTC